AAGATTGTGAGTTCAGTGGAGAGGAATTATAATCGAAAGAATTGTCTCGATCAGATTCTGTAGATTGGAAGTTGTTCATTCCAGGGTTTGGGTTATGCTTGTGTATTCGTGAATTATACAAGGTACTGAAATTGATATCGTGGTTGTTATCGTATTGATATGAGAGAGTGGACAGTAAGAGGAAAAGTTAAGTGTTCTTTGGTATGGTAAGCAATTAGCAGTAGCGGTTAATTGTGTGACCCTAACAAGTAAAACTCATGTGCTTGGTCTTTTCCTATATTCGAATTCTTCTATATGGGTTTATTTTGGGAGGTTTCTTTTGGAATAAGTAAAACAACAATCACACTTATATTGTAGAGAACCTAAGCACACTACTCAACATTATCCAAGGAATCAACAGAACTGTAAAATAAAGAATATTATTGTCAAAGAAGACAACGTGTCAAAAAATAAATTTTTCCATCTATAGTAGAGATGGCGTGGTTAAAATCTTGTCCAATATCTACTAAAGGTGCCATTTTCTTTTTAAAAGCATATCTTTATTTTTATAAAAGATATTTGTTTAAGACCTAAAAATCACAAAACTTTTGTCTTATTAGATTCTAGAGTCTCAAATTATTTTTTAGATAAAAACTTTGTTAACAAATATAGAATATTTTTAGTAAAAATAATAAAACTATACTTATACATATAAAAATCATAAATTATTGTCATTTATCTTATATAGATGTTATTTATGAAAGTATTTATGTAGATATAGTAACAAATGGTTATCATTGGTTTATTATATTTAATATTATTAAATTTCCTTTTAATCCAATAATTTTAGATTTATTAAATCTATAAAGTATAATTTTGGATTAGATTGAATGTCTTGTAATCTTGATTTTTTCCACATCATAACTAAGACATTTGTTAAACAACTAAAAAGTCGTAAATCTATTATATGTTAGAAATTGATCTACCTAATAAAATAGAAAAGACACAAATGATGAAGTTGATAAAACAAATCAAAGAAAGAGGCTTGCTTTCTACAAGACTTGGATTTTACACTAAATATCATTATGATAAGAAAAAAATCTGATATATTTAAAATTTGATTTGATTTGATATATATATATATATATATTTTAAAAGGATCTATTTTCAAAAATTCTTGTAAGAAGCATTGTTCCTTGACCACACTTGTTGATTTACTAATATAGTTGCTTTAGTGGGATTTTTCCCTCTTTAATTCTCTTGCTTTTGTTGCAAGTATTAATTAGGCTCCATTCAATAACAATCTCCTATTTTGAGACTAATTTGAAAAATAATAACTCTCTTGTAATTATGTCTATTTCTTATAATAAAAAATAAATGGTCTTAATATTTTGTATTTATTTATAAATAATTATAGAGGCTATTTAAAACTTTGTATAATTTTAATTCCTTGATGGTGGAAACCTAAGTAAACATCTTTGCTGGATTCTTTGATCATGAGATCTTCTTTAAAAATAACATTCTATCATCTATAAGCTCATGTATGAAATGATACTAATGCTTAGACTATGTAGCAGATATAGCACATAGATTTTTTAACTTCATTTTTCTTTGGTGATTGCTCCTTCGTAAGTTTGAAATGATTTCTCAAAAAGAATGCTTTTAGTCTTTGCATCATCAAGATTAAACCTACTCAATACTTTTTCTATGTATCTCTTTTGTAATATGTCTAAAATTTCTTCTATTTTATCATTGGTGATTCTCATTCCAATTATTTGCTTTGAATTTTTCAAATCCTTCATTTCAAATTCCTTTGAAATTATTGCTTCAATTTATTGATCTCATTAATTCTAAAATCAATAACAAGCATGTCATTGATGTATAAAAATAAAATAATATAAGAGTCATTAAAATCTCTAAAAGTAGCAATAATGATTTATATCACATCTTATGAAGCCATCATTACACATGAAGCCATTAAAGCTTTTTTTTGACTTTTTTAGAATTTATTTTAAGCTGTACATATTATTTTTAAATTTTTACATTAATTTTTTTTTATTAAGAACTTAGAAGTCTTTTGGGTGTAATATGTAGATATCTTCATTAATATTATTATGTAAAAAAATAAACTATTGAAAACTTGCATCTATAATAATTAGATATAAAGAAATAATATTCAACACTAAACTTGTTAATTGACAATAGGCAAGAAGATTTTAATATAATCAATTCCACTCTTTTATTGGAATCTTTTATCAATTAATCCTACTTTGTACCTTGAGCTGCCATCACTCATTTCTTTATTTGATATACCCATTTATTTTACAATGCCTTTTTTTTTATCTAATAAGTGAATAAGTACATATGTTTTGTTTTATCTTTGAAAAATTATTACATGTTGCATGGCCAGTTTTTGATAGAATCTTTTATTTTTATTGCTTCAACAAAATATTTTGGTTCATTAGCATCAACGAAGAATAAATAATATAATAAAAGAGAATATTGATTTATACTTTAGGAGTCATTCTCAATTTCTTTACTTCCACCCAAGAAGTAATCAATTTTAATTCTATTCTTTGTTGTATTATTGTATTATCACAATTCTTAAATCCAAATAACCACATCACTTTTTAATATTTTTTTCAATACAAATTTATTTATTTTATTTGATTTCATCATCAAACCTTGCTATAAGTTTGTCCTTATATAATAATTCTATACCAAAAGTTATATCCTATGTCAATTTTTTTTTTTTTTTTGATCATCTTAAAAATAAATTTAAAAATAATCAAAACCACAACTAATAAAATAATATTTTTTAACCTAAATACCAATCTTAGCTTTCTTATGAGTGTCTATTTGTACATATGAAATACAACCAAAAATTCTTAAATAAAGAAGATTTGCTTTCTTTTGTATCTATAATTTTTTTAATATTTAGAAGTCCAATAGAATTAAAGGTCCTTAATTTATGAAGTAAGTTGGTGTATTGATTGCATCAACCACAAAAATATTTTAACAATCTTAAATGAATCCTTATGCTCTCTACGTACTTATTTAAATTTTATTTATTATTTTAGCAATATTATTTTATTTTGAAGTTTTTAATTTTATTTTTATTATTTGAATTTTATTTTTATCACAAAATACCTTTAATTCTACATTATTGTACTCACTTCTATTATCAAATCTCAAGCATTTGTTCTTTAAATTATTTTACTATTTAATTTTAATTTTGAACTACAGCAAGTTTTTATGCATTTCTATACATCAACTTCAAATTTATTTTTTTTATAATTTTTTTTTCCAATTTTTGAAATCTTCATCTTATTTTTGCTCGCCATAGAAAAAATCTTAACCTATATCAACATCAACATTCTTCAAATCAAGTAGTCATCTTTTTGATACTAATAATTTTATTCCTTTCTTATACATGTATTCAAGTCTGTAATATCATAGCTTAAAATCATCTTTATATTTGTCCACTGCTATTATATTCATATATCAATAACAAAAACTAAAATATATATATATATAGATATATATATATAAATAAGTGAAAAATAAATAAAAAAAAAAGATGAAAAATTAAAAATAAAAAAATAAAAAAATCTAATAAGAAATTGGAATGGCTATTGCCAAAGATTAAAAAACTAAAGACTTTTAAAACTAAACTAGAAGCAAGAAATGAATTGACATGAATAAAAAAAGATATCACTATTGCCTCTATATATATTATCTATCTAAGAGCTATATGACAATATTCTATAAAATTTTTGGCACATGTTCAATTTACAAAGCACATGTCTTAACTTACAAAGCAAGTTTTCTATGTGTGCACCATATCTTTATCTTGTACCTCAAAAACTACCAATACATGCAACATGTGACTAACTTATTGGCCAAATTTTTAACCTATTAATTACCTATAAACATGCTTTAAGATAAAATTATATCTATGAAGTTTCAAAAAAGCTTCTTTAAAAGATGTTATAAAATTAATCTATTTTTACTTACTTTTAACTATTCATATAATTTAAATAATTATTATAGTAAATATTTGTATCCATAATACCTTATATCATTATTCTTGATATAAAAGACATGTCTTTATTTTGTAAGCAATCAAACAAGAAAATCTTATTGTAACTTGAAGGTTAAATAAATATAATATTTTAAACATCACATTGCATAAAATACATATGATCATTGATTACAAAAAACCATAAATTAAATAATTGAACATGGATTGGAAATTAAATAGTGATGTATCAAATAAATAAATTAGATGTAGTTAAATGACATGAATTGCTTTTCGATTGAATTGATAATAAATAATAGAAAAAGAATATCTTTGTCAATTATTGATATTGCGTAATGCTTTCAAAAGGTATAAATTGATGAACAACTAAAAATAATTATACACTTGTCAAAGTTTAATATTACAAAGTAGTGAATAAAGAAAATATGATCTAGAACCACAAATACCTTTATAATTAAAAACATAAACATTATAAAAACAATTCCATCAAAATTAGTATAAAATACTTTTTTATATTATTAAATAATTTAAAATTTGGATTAATCTCTACTTGTTCATCTATTAACCTTATAATTATTCTAAATAATTACATAATATTTATACATTTATCTTTTGTTGTTCACATAAGAATCATCCTAAAAAGAAATATGTACTATATACTTAAATTTAGAATAAATTTCGTATATAATTTATTATTAAGTGAAAAATTTTATTTTTAGGTGTCCATGATGAATTCTATCAAAAGAAATGATTAAATACTATTAAATAGTTCTATTCAAATTAAAAGCATATGAAATTTATTGATTGAAGCTTAAATTAGCTATCTTCTACAGATGTTATTCCAAACTTAAGACTATTCTTTAAATAATGATTTGGGATTTTAGAAAAAATAATAAGAAAATTTTAAAAATATAACTATCTTAACTATTGTAACAAATAATATTCTAATAAAATATAATATATAACATAAAATATGAAATCTTAGAAATCTTTGAATTGTGAAGTGCAATTTGTGCTCAAAGCTCACCAAAGGGCACTCATACTTCAATGTCATTATAACACTTATCAATCCTTTCTTGATTGATTTGATTTCAAAAATAGGTTGTGTTAAACTTACCATTTAAATAAAGGTCTCTTATGAATTGGGGCAATTGGGCTGGCTGAAAGAAAATTGAAATATATCCAATTGGCATGGTAACACACTTTGGCATTATGAAATCCACATTTTTAACCTTTCAAATTTTTGGGGTGCATAGTAGTGTCCCATAAGTTGGATTCTTAAGAAAGTCTTTGTCTTTCTCCAAAAATAAAAGAATGAAGAAATGTCTTGTAGCAAATCTTTAACCAAGAAAGTCTGCCTGTCAAATTTCAATGTATTACTAAGCAAAAGAGAAGATAGTAATCAAGATTTTTATTAAGAACGAAGCAATTCAAATAAAACATGATTGTCTCAACTACATTACTTTACTATCTTAGAACAGACAAACCAAGACCTTCAAAGCTTAAGGAAAATCTATTGATACACTTGTTTTAGTATTTATCATTAATTTTATAGACTTGCAATCAACAAATCTAGAAATTTTCAATCAAGCAACCCAACTTAGACTTTAGAAGTATTTACAATTTAAAAAAATATTCATAACTAAAAAAAATTTTATTCAAGATTTTGAAAATATAAATAAGAGATTGTATTTATTATCAAACATATTGAGCATCTCAACTCAAATGGCTTAGGTCTTTGATTTTTCTTGCTTTTTTTTAGATTGAACTAAAAAAAATTTTACAAAATCTAAGCAATTGTTGTTTAATATATAGCAATTACACAAGAATAACAATGTTGGCATTTTGTACTCATTGGTGAGAAGGGAGGAAAAGAGCCATGGATAAACTAATATTTTGCATGTTAAGAATGCCAAGAAAGTTGCATAAGGAGGACAAATCGTACCTCTAAATATGTTTGGAGGGCAAGGGTGCATTAGACATAAGTTTTACATGTGACAGCTGGAAATTCTCAACTCAGTTTGTTTTCTTCATGCGACTCGCCTACAATGAACACCGTCTGTCACGCCAAATATTAGGTGACTTTGGTCTAACAAAATTGTTGAATGCTTCCCCCTCCTCTTGATAGTGAAGACATTGATGTAATTTCAGTCTGAGCTTTAGTCAGATAATGGGAGGAATACAACAGATCAGAATAAAATTTCAGAAGAAGGCGCCATGCCTCCCACATAGCCCCGTCCAATCTGACTACTGGAAATTGAATGCACGCATATCATTTCTTTCGTACCTCGCTTTTAATAGAGTTCTCAGCTCTTCTTTGCATCCTCGACAATTTTTTCACGAAGCTCCATATACCACTTATTGTATTTCTCATAATCTTCCTGTTTTTTCAAAGCCAGAGAATATGCGGTGCTGTGGGATGTCTTTGTCACGACGGATAAACAATGTGCAGAAGGTTGGTCGGATATAATACCGATTATACCAGAGTTGTCAACCTGTATCTTTAAATCAAACCACAAATCAGACAAATATAATTATGTTAGCTTTTCCAATGATTTTCCGCTTCATTGAAGTGCAAAAAAACTATGCAATGTTCAGCAAGGTTCAATGTCTGTTTAGCTACACATAGATCTTATAATAACGTTAAAAAGTAGAAAAAACATGTTTTCCTTCAAAGAAACGGAAGGAAATTAAATTAATTATAATAATTTTTAATTTTTTATAAGAACAAAAAAGAACAAATTGGAAACCTAAAACTTTCAAACCAACCTACAGACAAGCCACCGAACTTCTACCTTAAAAGCAGTGTGCGCCGCAAATCCATATAAACGCGGCTCGTGTACATCTTCTGACGGTGACACTATCCACGGCCTGCAAGAAGCGGAAGAAACATGCTCGTTGGAGATTTAGTCATCCAGGGAACTCACTAGCAAACATTCCGAAACTTGAATTGGATAGGAATCACGCAACTAGATGACTACGATTGATACTGACCTTCCATTCGAAGAGATGACGAATCGGACGCTGTAATCAGTGAGCCACTTCAAGGCCTTCTCGGCGCTACTGTGATCTTGATATAGAATATAACCACTTGTCCACACTCCAAATCTTAATCTAGGCATTATATGTACCGCACATACTCCGGGCGTGTTCTCCTGTAGTAACTGCATTACGTCGTAAGCAGAAACATCTTCTTCCATATTCTCAATAAGAAGCAAGCGAGAAGCATTTATGGCATCTTGTTTGTAAGGCGCAACATCTGCCACGAGTTTCGGAACACTCCTGCTGGTTGCCGCTAACGGAGCAAGTTTGTTCCCGCCGGCAGAGTAGCTATCCACAACAGGGTTCCCATTTGCGCCCTTGACGTTCTGTTCTCTGCAGGATTTTTCAGAGATGTCCTCAGACTTCTCATCATCGGTTATGACTAAAGAACACCTGCGGCGTTTCTTCTTGCTCGCACCAATGTCCTGGGCACTCGTCGTCTCATCTTGACCACCGATCTGTGCACTATTCACTTGTGGAGAGGTAGCCCTATGTTCCTCCACTTGGGTTTGCTTTTGACAAGCAGCTTCTTTCGTAGAGTGTGGCTGGACAGCAGTTGGTGTTGGAGCATTCTTTGAAGTACTATTTCGCATCGTAGCGTGTTTCATGCGAACAGAAAAGACTCTGTCCGCTAAGGTTTGCTTTCCAGTATTCGATGACTTCACTGGGGTTGCATCAGAACTGGTGTTATCAACAGCGTGCATTCTTGTCAATAGTCGCTTCTTGAAAGGAGGAACAAAGTGCTCCTCGTCCACGTTTTCCTCCATTGCATCTTCTACTGAACCGTGTTTATCTACATTACAAACTCCTGCAACTAGCTGCTTCTTTGCCACAGAGCTGCCATTTACAGTTTTGGCGGAGCTGTTTTCTACAGTTTTGGGGGCGCTTTCCTCTACAGTTTTGGCGGAGCTCTTCTCTACAGTTTTGACAGAGCTATTCTCTAAAGTTTTGACAGAACTTCTCTCTGCAGATTTGGCGGAGCTCTTGTCTGCGGTTTGGGGGGAGCCCTTTTCTGCAGTTTTGACAGAGCTATTCTCTATAGTTTTGGGGGAGCTCTTCTCTACAGTTTTGTACGAGCTCTTCTCTGCAGTTTTGTACGAGCTCTTTTCAACAATTTTATCTTCTGGTAAAGGATTCTTCCTTGGCCTACCCCTCTTCCGTTTGGGCTGCTCGACTGGCTCCGGCACTATGTTGCTTCGTTCCGCTGCTGCATCGTCCTTTGAGTTTAAGCGAGAGGGTTGCTCGACAAGTGTCAGCTCGGCTTGTTTAATGAATTTCTCTCCCAGTGTCATCAACTTCTTCTTGTGACTCCCGACAACGGCAACGTCTTTGGGGGTTGCTGACTTCGTTGAGTTGGATTTAACCTGCCCTTTCGAGGATTGTGGTGTCTCCGCTCTTATGGTCTTTCTCACGCCCTTGTCATGATGGATATCTTCTGGGCTTATTACAATTACTCTACGAGACGCTTTCAGCTGCTTTACTTTCTTTCCCACACTTCCACCGGGTAACTTCGGTTCTACAACATCGCCACCATTACCTAACCTGCTTGCTTCATTTTGTTCGTTGTTTTGACCACCTTTTGGGGAACTAGTTTGCCTAATACCAGGATTCAAATCGTTCAATGTATCACTATCACTAGATAGGTCAAGGTTTGTCTGTTCCCCTACCGTTTTCATATTTTCCCTTGTCTCTTCACCAGGCATGGACGCTGTTCTAGACTCTGATTGATGGGGAGAAGTTCGCTTAGAGAGTTTCTTTAAGGGAATCGGCTCCGGACTCGGTAATGAAGTCCTAGGTCGACTTACTGTATGTTTTGTTACCAGTCTCCGCCGCTTTTCTCTATTGCCAGCGAAGTCCTCAATCAAATTTTTTATCATTGGGTCGTCTTCAGGAATTTCTTCTGATAAGAAGCATATCTCAGCACATCCAACACTGGTTCGCTCGTTCTTCTTCGGTCCAGCAAGCCAGAGAACTTCGAATTCGCAACAACACTCTTCACCATCCGCCTTATGGATGTGATCTCGAGGAACAATCTGAAATTATGCATTGGCAACCTTCGTCAAAATAATGCACAAATATTTCTAAGAAGCGGTTAAGAACGGAAAAATCAATCAGCTTTATTTTCTGTTATTTAACCAAACAAGAAACAAAAAAAAATAAACAAAAAAATATATAAATAAATAAAGTGCTGTTCGTGAATTTGATGAATTCTTCATACTTACCGAAACAACCTCGGCATCGTAATATCTGCGGTTTTCGCCATCGTCGAGGCATCCACATATCCTCTGATTTGTACGCACCTTCTTGCATTCAGAATCTTGCAATTGAGTTGACCTCACTCTAACCCGTGACCGTAATTTGGCAGGGTCCGTCAACACTGACATCTCTAAACTTTCCTCATCCTCGTCAAAATCTTTGAAGTGTACAATGATCTGGCCTTTCACTCTAGACAACGTTCCATCGTACCAAGCTTCATCAACAGAACATTTCATCTCCAGATTGCTGTCCATCTCGTCATCCATTATTCTATAAGTAGTCGCTAACCAATTCTAAGGAAAAAAATTGTAGAGCTAGTTTATCGAACCCTAAGGGTCTAACTTTGTGCCTATCGTGCAATAATAATAACCAGCTTTTCTAGCCAATGAGCGATGCAGACATTACTGGCATCTAAAAATTAGGATCATAAAAATAAAAGTAAAAATAAAATAAAATAAAGAGCAAAATCCGACAATCATCATCAAACTCGAAATATCTTGAAAAAATCACTCGGAGCACAGTTATCACCACAGAAACACGTCCATAGCAACAGAGTAGTCGATACACTTAGGTCGACTCTCTTGCTGAAGACAAAGCACCACTTCTGAAATAAATGACTGTGCTGCTCTCATTTCAACAACTATCACCGCTCTCGGTTCACTAGTCTCGGAACCCGGCTCTCGGTCCAACTAGCTAACATATTTCACTCCGTCAATACCAGATCGACAAGCCGTTCAAAAATCCATTCGATCCGCAACCTTCCTAGAAAACGCTTCAAATTCGAAACAAACGCAGAGAAACGAGCTGAACTAACGCAGCCGTGTTTCCTCAAAAACTAAACCCGCAGGACCGTCACCTAAAGCTGTGGCGAAACGAAACAACAGCCGCAAAAGAGACGTGCTGACGATTGTCGGTACAAGCCACAGCTCAAAGAAGAATAAGACTGAGGGACGAAGACGAAGCCTTCGCAACAACAGTGGCCCTGGAAAAGCCCAGGGCTGTTGCGACCGATGAGATCCTATCGGGCAGTTGGACAGGCTCATGGATGAATGATCGGTCTCTTCGATGAACGTTGTAGATGTCATCCTTGAATGCTAATGGTCCGTGTCTGAAAAAATATAGGGATCCTGTTCGGCCATCCAATAACGAACGAAAGTTATGCTTCGTCCGTCCGTTTGAGGACTTCGTCCTATATCGTTGGACAGATTCCTCTCGTTTTCGTCATTCGTTCCACATGCTCCGCTTGGTCTGTTCCTTAGGGACCATTTTGGTAATTAGTGTGTACAGTATGGGGTTAATATTAAGACTTTTTCGTTTACTCTTTTGTTATTAGACTTTTCTATACTTGGCAATTGTGGTGGCGTCATCGTTAACGAATCAACACATTTGTGCTTGTGTGTGTGGAGTTGTTTTACTATAATGAAGTATTGCTATTAAAGACATTATGCTTACACTATGTTTCTATTCTTTTGCTCTTTTTTACTTTTTTTGTGAAGATTCAAGATTTTTAAATTTTTTGTTCATGCGTGAAATATCCAAGGTTTTCCTCCAGATGGGTTTCACGACAATTGATGTTTATCTGGGTTGTTATTATTGTGTTTTTTAGATGTGTGCTATATTTTGTATTTTGAATATTATATGAGTGAATGGTTTTTTGGAACTTGATTGAATGGTTCTTTGTGATTTTGTCCAATGACCATAATCATTTGCTAATATACATCTTGGACCATTTGATCATTATCCAAACATCTGAAAAATGATGCTGGAACATGTCTTTTGTACTTCTGTTGATTACAAATTTGCAAGTAACTTCATTGAAAGTTGCTTTCTCTCTTCTTGGATTCGGGACCTCATTGTAGTGTTCACTATGTTCGCGTTTATTAATTAGGCCACAGTGTAACTTAACGAGTTATTCCAATTATTACATTATTGCACGTTGTTATTTAAAATTTTGAGATAAATTTCTCAAACACATTACAAAGAGCTGACCTTCAAATTTATTCACATCGAATTAAGCTAATAACATTTCGAGTAAAAAATGAAAACTTCAATTTTATTTTATTTTATTTGGGTATAATAAAATTCATTTAAAACTCGAAGTAACACGACGAAAGATAATATTACTGTATTTTCAGTTGAAAAATATTAAAAATTGAACCATTTATTTGATATAAATAATAAAATAACAAAGGGAACACGTTCCCCACGAGTATTAGGCCAACGTGCCCGAACCTGCGGGTTCTCGGAAACAGACAGAGCGAGAGAGAGAGGGCTAAAGAGAGAAAACTCGTTGGCTCGATTCTTCGAAACCGCCATAGCCAGGAAACATTGCAAGCAACGGAGCTTTGAAGGATGAGAAAACTCAACTCCAGAGGAAGAAGAGGATGAAAACCAAGCAGAAGAAGCAGAGGACGACGGCGACATGGCCGAGTTGCGGAGGAGCTGTGGTTGCAGCAGGTCGGCGGCCTTGTCGTTGTTGTGAAGTTTTTTTTGTTCTGTAGAGGTGGTGCTGGCGATGTTGGAGGCTGCAAATTCCAGGCTTTGAAAGAGCGGGATTGTGGTGAATGTCCAGTCGCAACGCTACGAGCGCGGTTTTTGTGAAGCGGATGCTTGGAATACGGGCGAAGAGCTGGTGCGTGAGGTGTTTTGTCGCTGCTTGAGCTCAGTTTGGAGCAGATCCGGGGATCGTTCGCACTGCCTAGGATTTGATATCATGTCTGCCATCCGTGGTCGGGGTCTCCCTACCGTCGAGGAGCACGAGGAGGAGATTGAGTATGGCTATATTCGTTAGGTAGCCTCGTCCTGATCCATGGATTGCCTTGTTTCGAATGCGGATTGTGTGAGGAGGGCGTTGCGTGAGTGTAGAACATGGTTGCATGCCGCCTGGTTTAGAGTTTAAGGTGCGCTGAGTTTGATCGACGGAGGCTTTTGTTTATTTTCTTTCTCGGTTGCAATGGCGGAGTGGAAGGAGGTTTTGGAGCTAGTGCGAGGCGTTAGAGCAGTGACTTTTTCTGTCTGCTGTGGTGTGATTAACATTTTTCGATGAAGAATCTTAGTGTACGGTAGTAGAGCGTAGTGAGGAGGATTATGGTGGTCCAGAGAAGCACGTCAATGCGAGGCAGCTGGGAGCTTTTCAACGGTGTGATTCACTTCGATCGATTGTTCGTTATTCTTCTAATTTGAACTACTTGTCTACGTTGTGTCATGGGTGCGATAGTTTTAGTATGAGTGTTTCTTGGTGATAATCCTGCTGATCAACTGCTGAGGTCATAAAAAACGAACGTCAAGTGCAAAAAATCTGGAATGATATTGTTTTTAATCTCCTCGTGAAGTAGGCATATGATGTTCGAGTTGACGTGAATAGTGATTGAGTTATATACTGTGCACCTTGTCTTTGGAAAGAGCTGAGATCATTTCCTCATGCCAGTTTGCACGCAATGCAAATCAGATGCTTTCTCATTTACGACTTAAAAATCAGCTCTGTTTCGCCTTGTACTGTAGATGATCAATTGCAAGGATGTTCGCGTACACAGGTACATCCTTGTGAGTTGGATCCAAATTAGCTGGATGCTTGTGTATATACAGAGATCTTTTTTGTTAGGATATCTGTTTGCTATTTCAAAATCCTCAAGGTCGTCCACCTTTTGCTTCTTCCTGCGTCGTCTGAGTCTCGTAAACTGAGAACTGAGAAGAGTAGGCGCATCTTGGTCAAGCTATATACTGTAGTCTTGTTATTTCGTTTACATACGTTCTAATTTTAACGGGTGGACTTCACACGATTTGTATTTCTGTTCCAGTGTCTATGTGAATCTCGTTTGGGCTATCCTGGGATGAGTTTTTATAAGCTGGACACATAGCTTTGGTTTGGATTTCTTTCATTCAGAGACAAGTTTTCCATTCCATTGCAAGTCAGTTAATAACTAGCAATCTCTACAATAGAATTGTTAGATGTTCTTCGGGGTATCTTGGGTATGGGCCAACGCACACCTTGAATTCGTGTTCAGGTGTTCGGGCAGTGGTGGTCGTTGATGGATTGGGAGGAGCTGCCATGTACGAGTTGGTTCGTGTCGGACACAAAAAGTTGGAGAAAGCATTTGTCTGAAGAGTGGCTCGGCTTCCATTCAAAGTGTAGAGTTTTGTGATCAAAATTGATACAGTTCATGAGATGAGATTTTTGGAATTAGTGTCCTCTCAAGTTATCAGGCTTTGTTGGCTTATACTTTGTTGCTGTGGTTTTCATGCTCACTAAGTCATGTTTGGGAGGACTGACGAATACTGTGCAGTTTACGATAAGACAGTAGGATTGATGTTTGGTGATCCGGTTACTAGATACAAGGTATTTGGTCAAGGTTTCTTTTTTTCTTTTTCTTTTTTTGTTGAATAATTTTTAGAATGTTTAGAAATGTATTTAATTTGGAATTCTTGCATGCAACTAACTAAATCCAAGCACAACACAATGATTGAAGAATTGAAATAGAATTAAAAAATAAATAAGATGCATTCAAATAATTTTGGTAAAGAATAAATTAAGATAAAAAAATATGGTGTATAGATGTATTTTGTTTAAATAGTTATACATTATGTAGATAGTATATTAATAGTATCATGAATATAAATTAGAATTAGAAAAACCTTAAAATATTTTTGCATAATTCAAAGAAAATAAATATTTATTTCAAAAATAATAAAGTATTAAAATTAGAATAATTATTTATAAAAGCAAAAAGAGTATAAATTTTTGAAATTGGATAAAAAACAAAAAAATGTTGACAAGAATGAAGAAAGTTTCACTTTTATTTTCATATATATTATTTAATTAAAAGTTGTGTTGTGATGTTCTATTAAATTTTTTTTATGTGTCTTAATGACAAGATATATTTTTCTATTTACAAGATAAGTTTTTTACATGTGTGTCATTTAGTTAGTTTGTTCCACAAATTATCAACATGTATAATACATGATTAGTTTATTGACCAAGTTTTTAACCTATAAACATGTTTATAATCAAAATCTTGTTTACAATTTTTTTTTAAAGTTATTTTAAAAGATATTATGAAATTTATTTTATTTTATTTTATTTTATTTTATCATATAAATAATTATCAAAATAAATATGTATGTTTACATCAAATACTTACATTTGATTAAATATTGAAATATTCAACTATTCTATAAAAATAATAAAAAATCATGAAAATAAGTATATGTATTATTAGTATGATTTATTTTACAAGATATTATATGTCAATTTAATAATTTTTAAAATATTTTTTTATGATATTTTATTTTTTGAAAAATATTATGTGTAAGAATATAATGTTTAAATTTTTTATGTCATTACACACGTTATTTGTATTTTAGTATTATTTTTGTAAGTCTAAATATAAGAAGTAGATTCAATTTTAGTTAATTGCTTATATGATGGTTAAAATAATTTTTTTATCAATCAGTTTGGTTCTATAATTATATTATTTTAGAATCATATGATAGTTGGAGTTTATTTATTTTATTATTATTATTTATAAATCTAATTATTTGATATGTTCTTTAATATAAAAATTCTAATGTAATTAAATATCTTTGACAAGAAATTAAGAAAATATCAAATTAATTTACTTTTGTTGATTGTAAGAAATACAAATATATGTGGAATTATATTCCACTTTATAATAAATTCAGAATTACTTTATAACTAAATCAATTTGACATAATTATAAATATAAGTATCTTAGGATTTTTAACTTATGAATATACTATCTTTTATTATTGTTATATTTATCTTAATGAATGTTGGTATTAATAGATGTTTGTAAAGAAATATAGATCTAGTTACACGAATGATTGTAGATATCAATTAAATAATGTATCTTCTTTTATTGAAGTAGATTATGATATTTTAAAATAATAGTATTAATAGTTGATACATGTATGTATATTTATACAAAAATATTATATATATAAATATTTATATATAAATATAAAAATATATATAATATAATTATAGAAAAATTTTATGCTTAAATAATATAGATCAAACTTTGATATGTACCTCTTTTAAATACAAAGTATTAGCTTAATTTATTAAACATATCAATGATTCTTAAAAATTGTAATTTATCTCTTATTTTAAAGTTTTGTATAGTGGATGTAAAATTTATTAATTAATATGTTTTAAAAAACGTTTCTATAGAAATCTAACAAATAAAATAATCAATAGAAGTGAAAACATAATTATAATTTTATTTGTTTACATCCTTTGTTTATTATTATATTATATATCCTCCATATGCAAGCTAAGTTTTTTTTATTTTATTTAATAGTTTGATGTAATAAACAATTATATATATATATATATATATATGTAGAGGAATGTTAAAATGACACAGGTTTTAATAAATCGATCCATAGCCAAGACCATCGTTACACCCTTGCCTCCATCCCCGTTCCTAGTCCCTAGTCCCTCGGCCCCAGCGCCCGTCTCCCGATTCTACAAGTTACAGTATGAGAAATCAAATCTGTATCCATGCTGTAGCTTGTGCACAAGCATGCCGATCTGCAAGTCCACAAAGGTGGCGGCGTTGTGAGTGGGGTCGCTCTCTCTCGAACTCCTTGTAATCTGCAAATTTTTCTTTACCCTCGTTTCTTGATTACATCACTTGGTGTCTTGCTAGCATTAGTTTTGATAACAATCAAAAATTTTGGGTCCTGGTAAATTGTGGGAGCACTAACAGTTGTGTCTATGGTGTTGTTGATGGCGTGCCGGCTGTTCGTGTGTTAGATTTCCTCTTAGATATGCAGTTTTGGTTGTTTGGCTTGACTGAGAGGGATATGCGATGGAGCGCACCGGCAAAGTGTATTTAAGAACGTGACATTCTTTCCCATAGCTACCATCTGCTTTTGGTGGAAGTTAGTTGTACCATCCCCACTTCTTTGCACATGACCTCTGTCACTGTAAAAAATCAGGCGCTCGTCAACAGGTAAGAGAACTCGCGGTGCTCTTGAACATTCTTAGGGATGTTTAGCGACTCCTCTTTGGAGACAAGGTGGAGCGAGGCCCCTATTCCTTCTGCAGCCACCCTGCAGCTTATCTCAAGGCGATGACCTCAGATGGTCTAACCTATCCCTTGCTTTGTAGAGCCATTTTGGTTGCATCCGGTTTTGCGTCTATATTCTACTTTCTCAAGTCCCCATAGTACAAAAACAACCTATTATTGATCGTGCGAGATCTCAAACATTCCGAGGAGGCCATATAATTTCGTCATGTGAGAAGATTTTAAACATCAAAGACCAACGTATTCTTACCAACTTTTACCTCTGAATCGTACATCTCCCTTGGCAGATTCGGTTTCCATTTCTTCGCTGTGAGAAAAATGTCCATGCAAGGAGATCAGAACCTACTCAGCCTAGCGGCTGCTTCAGCGCTACCCTGAGTTATTGTATGTCTTAAAAATACATCATTTTCAAAACGAGGGCAGGAACAATTTACCATGTTGAAGGCCTGGTCTTCTTTTCTCACTGAGATGTTCGATTTCATAATTTGGAACAGCTAGAGCTTCCAGTGCTATGAAACTGCCTATGGTTATTAGTTTAGCAAATTTTTGCAAAGTGTGCGGTGAGAGCAATATTGTGGCTATTAAATAAATCGTGCTTGAAATACCGCAGGCCATATTTTGTTCGAGCTAGTGTTTCTTGGGAGTGAACTTCCCCGCTGGACCATGAAAATTGAAGCTTAGCAGAACCTTTCTCATCTTGTACGCAAATGACGGATTTGTGTATCACCCATTCAAGCTTTCCAATTGCGTGCTATATGTTCACAAGAATCACGGTGGTTCCTGATGGCCACGACCCCCTGTGCATTGTTTTTTTGATTTGATAATTACGTTCGCAAAAGTGACATGGCTTCGACGTCAAGTAGAGTATCGAAGTCACTCTAGTACGTATCTCATGAAAGTCACTGACAAGGCGTGATCTGCTATACCGTTGTCTAACTCTTATTTTTTGGATTTCTTGTGTGAGCATTCTCTGTGCTGCCAAAGCGATACATCGCTGCTTGCCTGCCGTTCAGAAATTTTGTCTGTTTCAGCGTGTGGTTTTTATGAAAACTACCACCGCTTGTATCTCCACATGCTGCAAACTCACTTATTGGTTATAATCACATCAGCATTACTTCAATCCTCGTGCGCTGTTACTAGTGCTGTGTAAGAATCAGAGAAGTTATTAACCACGTCACAAAAGAATTTCATTGCTGCCATCGAAGACACGATAAAATTAGTGAATTTAGCAACACTTCCGCAAAGTCACCATCTGCTTCCGCCACTCCCGAACTGGAACTACAGGGATCACACACACTTCAAATACTTCATATATTCTTGCCTAACTAGCACACTTTTTAGCATAAGATATTGTAGGGCTCAAATTAATGGATGGAGGACAGGGGGGGTGTAATGAATTATTCTGACATTATTCTACTTTAGATTTATACAAATTTTTATTTTTTAATAATATATAAATATTGATATATTTTTTTATTGAAATGTTTTTTTTTATAAACTAATCATGCAAATGGATTTTTGGATATATTAAGAAAAATAACATAAAAAATTTAGACTTGATTTTAGCTTGTGTTACAAGTATAAAAAATTGTGAAATTCACATCATCTTCATAAATCCTATAAGACAAACATTAGTTAATAAAAATTTCTTAATAAACAGGTTGACTATCAAATTTTAGATAATTAGTTTTAAAAAATATTGCAATATGTTGTAACTTCAGTTTTTATATGATTTTTTTTATTCAAACTAATGTAATATCAAACAATTAAGCACAATAAAAGATTTACAATTTTTAACTTATATTTTTTTCTTATTACTATTTTTAAAAAACCACTACATAAAAATTCTAAAATAATGTAAGGCTTGTAAAAATTTGAGTTATTGTTCATTAAGTTGAGTGATTATGTTAACCAATAAAAATAAATAAATCAGGTAGAGTGTTAATAATTAGTACAATGCAATCATATAGACAGGATTATTTAATGCTCTCTAAGGAGCCGTTTAATACACATCTCTTTCAAAAGCATTGTTGTCTAAACTACTTTAGTTTAAATATTTGGCTTTCTAATTAAATATAAAACTTTTTTATTAAAATTTAATAATAAGTTATTTAAAATTCATCTCATTGTTATAATATTCATGCAACATATATATATATATATATATATATATATTTAATTTTCTTTATATATTTTGTCTAATTTTTATAATAATTTTTTAAAATTATAATTTATATATATATATAATTAATTATAATAAATAGATTACAAAGATTCTTGTTATATGTTTTGTATTGTGACCATCAATTTAATTTATACTATTAAATGTTAACAACTTTCTTTAATATATATGATGTGCAAAATAAATAGCATCTACTTACATGTTATATACCTCTCATTATTATAACTTGTTACTTTGAAAAATAATATATTATAGTTAAATATCAAATTATAATATAATTTGAATGGATGTTTAGATGCTTAGGTTCATAAATAAATATATACATACATATATATATATATATATATATATATATATATATGCCCACAAAATTACCTCTTTATCAAATTCTTCAAATGAAAACCCCTAATTCAAATTTATTTTGCTTATAAAACTTAGTTGTTATAGCAAAGAATAGACAAAGGATGATAATAATTAAGATATTGGTTTGAAAAATTGTAAAACAAATAAATAACTTAATAATTGCATGAAAATATGTGTAGACTTTTAGATAAATAAAAAACACATTAATACTTCCAACATATAAGATATGCTTATTAATTATATTTTTTTTATAATTTATAAATTTATAATAAAATAATATCTTTATATTATAGTATTATTTAAATAAATCAAATCACTTATGCAACATATAAAAAATATATATCTATACTAACTTTTATATAATCTACATTTAATAAATAATATTTGATTAATTTTATTTCAAAACTTTAATTTTTATTTTTATTAATTATATTTTTAAAAAATATATTTTCATACTACAAGCCCATCAATTATCAATAAATTACATCATTTTTCTCTCTCTTTTTATTTTTTAAATATATATATTTTAAATAATATGTTATTATATATATATATATATATATATTAAACTTATAATAGCAAGTCCTTCTAATATAGGATATTGGGAATTTGTCTTAAATTATGTAATATGAAATATAATTTATTTTACTTATCCTGTATTAGACTTAACATATGTTACAAATGAATATGAATATAAATAGAGCTACACAAGAGGAGCAAGCTTTCATTCAAAATTCAATAACGAATTTTTGCCATCTTAAAATTGATATCTTATGTCTATGAGTCTAAAAAATGTATTCTTATTTTATTTTTTTAAATATAAAACATAATTTTTAATGGTTTCATAACAAATATTTTATATTAAATTTTTTTGTTCTTTATCAGAAGGGCCTCTACATGGATTGCAAAGTTATGTCTTGTATAGTCATTTAAAATTACTTGATATATATATATATATATATATTCTTCTTCTCCTCTTTATTACAATAGCTCAATATTACATTTATTGTGATATTTTAAAGGTGTAATAGTACACTGCTGGAAGATCTCTAGAATAGTGATATTACTCTTGGTTCTAATTTAATAGATTATATTTTTAACTCACAATGTGATAACTTTTATAACTATCTTAATTAAGTGACAACATTTCTATGCATTTGATCTCCAAAATTAAAGAATTTTAAACACTTCTAATACTTTGTTTTTTTGTGATAAGATGTAAGTGAATTGAATCTTGTATTTGTTTTCTTTGCTACTTTTACTTCAAGGATTTATCAACATAAAATAAAATAAAATAAAATAAACCTTGTTCAATGAACTTAATACCATTCTTGAGTTGTTGCATGGTTCTATAAAAACATTTCAATTAGTGATAAAATGAACAATTTTTTTTTTTTGAATCTCAATAGAAGATTCATAAATGTAACTATTTTGCATCTAAACATCTATATCTTTTGATATATATATATATATATATATATATATAGAGAGAGAGAGAGAGAGAGAGAGAGAGAGAGAGATTATATTATAGGAAAATGTTAAATAGACCCAATTTTTTACTAAATTTATCCACCCATCCAAACCATCTTAAACAAAAATCAAATGACATTTCTACTATTGGATTTGCAACCAATAAATTCATCATGGTTTATCGAGGGTGAGTCTGTTTATTAAAAGCATGGATCTATTTCATATTTTCCATATTATAATTATAATATGTATATATGTATATATATATATATATATATAAATGTACATATATAGTTACACAATGGAATGAAGAAATTATAGAAACTTGGTTGTCAGGTGTGCTTGTGAGAGGGAAATACTTCTTCGAAGTCCTCGATGGCTGTGTGACGGGACTCGGGTTTAGGGCCAACCGGAAAGAACGAAAGCAACTCATTGGGCAATTCAATTGCACGACCACCACCGGACCCAACCAGTCACCCCGCAAGTCGATATAACGACGAGTAGGGGGGTGACCGGATGGTCCCGGTGGGTATCTCCCTCTTGCGTCGCTTCCAGATGAGAGCTTATTATTCCGAACGCGCTTTGTTTTTTTTTTTTATTCCTCATTATTAATTTTGTTGTTGTTTTAATTTAGCTTTTTAATTGTTTGTTGATGTTTTTTTCCCCTTCCTCGTCTGTCTGGTGGATTATTGCGAGAACTCTGTCGAACCCGATGCCGTGTCGTGTCGAATTTTCGTAGCGGATTTTGTTGCGGAATTGCGTTAACGGGAGGATAGTTTGGCTGAATCGGGGGTTTTGTGATTGAGCGCGAGGTTGATGAGATTTTCGAGAAGGTCTTAAGCAATTTTTATCGGTGGTAGAGGTTCCGTTGATTCTTTTGGAACTGAAGAAGGTTTTCATTCTCTATGTTTTTTGTTTGGGAAGCGAAGGGAGTTGCTGCGTGAAATCGTCGAGGATCCCGTCCCTGAGAAAGTTAAGGGTTCATTCGTGTAAAGAAAATTTAGTCATCGTTTGTAATTGTGGTCAAGGACGGCGAAGACTCTCCTTCAATTTGTTACAATAGCTGGGCCCAGTGGATTGTCGACGTGCTTCGTGTTTCCATCGAGGTTGTCGCATATGGAGAGCTGTTGAAGACTGAAGCAGTGGAGACAAATAATTTCAAGCTGATTGTCTGGATGCATCTCTGATGTCTTCTTTATCCATAAGGTCTTGATCAGACGTGTTTCGGTATCAAAATCGAAGTTATCAGTTGAAGAGGTGATAGGATATGGCTGGAGCTGCTTGTTGATGACGCTTTATCGTGTTCGAAGAGGATCTTCGTAGTTAATTTTGGTTTTGAGTTGAAATCCCAAGGCCAGGATTCAGATCGGTATTTCTGTTGAGCATTGATACAAGGATTGAACTACGGGCAATGCGGGAAAGAAGCTCTGAAGATAAGGCAAGAGAGGAAATTTGAGGATATTTTAAGTCCTGTCTCATTCTCAATCTACTTGCATCATAGGTGGAGGTTCAGGAGGTGTAGGTTGTTTGTTCATCTTACGAATCTTTCTACGGGATGCGTTGGATTTGTCTTGAACAGCAATTTCTGACTTAGAGTATCAATTTGGTTGCAAAGTGTAGAACCATTTTCAGAAGGTCCGAGAAAGCTGTAGAATTAGAATTAGGGTTAATATCACGCAGTGTACTGTATGGTCCGATGATGTCTACGGGAACTGGTAGCAGCATGAACCCGAAGCCAGTCCCGGCATGGCTCAATAGTGCATCCTGGTCATCGAGTACCAGACCGACTATGAAGCCTTCGTATTCCTTTGGGGAAACATCAGGCTCTGGTACTCTGCTGGAGCCAATTGGCAAGCCCGCAGGTCATTATGACGATCCATTAAGCAGTATAACTACGACGCAGAAAGAGGCTGCCGCTCCACAAGTTGAGAATGATGCTTCTGGTCCGGCTACGCAGCCCACACAGGTGCAGATATTTGCTTGTGTCTGATGATATCAAGTTTTCCTTCGATATCTCGGTTGAGCGTGTTTGACGCGAGTTCTCTTTTGTTAACTAGCTCTGAAATGGCTAGATTTTCAAAGCTTTTGCTGAGAAATGGGGTGTACTATTGTTCAAATGTTGGTGGCTTATCATAAGGGAGCCTTAGTTGAGTTCGTTTCTTGCTTCCTCTGCCTGATCGCAGACCATCAATACGATGCAGAATGCTGACTACTCGGAGCAGTCTTCAGACGCAGACGAAAACAAAGTGATAAAAAGCCCTTCGTCGTTTGACTACCGGGTAACTCTTTTCAATACTGAGGTATGTCCTGATATGTCAATCACAAACGTATTTTGGTTGATGAATTACTGCACCTCTCTTGATGCTGTTTATGATGTGTAATATTCCTTCTTGGTTAATGAGTTCATCAACATTAAGATTGACATCTTACTGCTTAAGCTGCTGCTTTGTGTAACGCTTTCAGTTATCACGGAGAAGAATACACCTAGCAGAATTGCAACGTTTATCATCCCAAGGAATACCCGATACAGGAGGCATTCGAGCAACTACTTGGAAGGTACATATTGCGTCCTTGATTGCTTCCTTGCAATCAGACCTTAAGTTTCCATGTGAGGAATCCTTTTACTAAACTGCAATTTCGATGTCATGTTGTGAATATTGTGGGCATAGGTTTTACTTGGTTTTCTGCCAAGAAATAGAGATGATTGGGCTACGGAACTGGAGAAGAAGCGGGCTACATATGCTGTTTTTCGGGAGGAGATGATAATCAATCCTGTAAGCTTCCTCTTTTGTAATTACCTATCGCAGGGTTAGAAATTGGAGTTTCTATCTGTACATATTACATTTGTTAGAAGTTGGAGGCCTCTTCAAAGAAGTTTCTTGTCTCAATTTTCTTGAGGTCACAGATAATGAGAACCTCGGGAAATCGGTTCAGTAATCTATATAAGCTGCTGAATTTACTGACGATTTTTTGTTTCTTTACTTTGTGCTGTGCCAAACTGCTGTTATCATAATTCAATGTGACCCTTCGTAAGGGCTTGATGAATTCTGTAGTCAATGGTACATGAAGGAGGCCTAGACGTGAAAGTGCTTGAACTCTGAGGGTTCATGTGCTACTTAGAACCGCTATATAGGTAACGACGGTACATTTGACATTTGTATAATTTTTTCTTCTTATGGTTGCAGTCGGAGGTTACAAGAAGGAAGGAGGAGATGGAAGCCATGAAGGCAGCAGAGCTGGAAGCATTGGAGGGGCCTCTGCAGCGACATGAAATTTCTCATGATGATCACCCTTTGAGTCTCGGCAGCAAGAGTGTCTGGCACCAATTTTTTCAGGTCTTCCCTTTGAGTTCTTTCATTTGATTTTAGCTCGTAGCAACTCTCTTATTCGACTGCTACGATTGGACCGTCTGAATTTCAAAATAACTTGCTTTGATTCTTTTTTGAAATGACTACAGGACACTGAGCTTGCAGAGCAAATTAACCGTGATGTGAAGCGGACGCATCCGGATATGCCATTTTTTTGCGGAGACAATGACTCTGCTCGAGAAAACCAAGTATTCACATTCTACTAAAGCCTTATTGTCATTTTTCTCTACCAGTCTAACTTCGGATGATTTCCCACAGCTGGGATACCTACTCAGAGTGGTTTGTTGCTGATTGCACTGTTAGGCGTCCTCTTATTCTGGGCCGGTAGACATGTTTTGAAATGTTTACAGCCATCTATTTGTTGAGTCACTTATTGTGAGGTGGTGATATTTGCGACGATATTCGATTGTTGCTTTTGCTAGGTTGTGGGCTTGGGGTAGTTGGACAAAGGTGCGAAGTTTATGCAACTTAGGTAACCAAAACTTACTAGTCCGTCTGTTGCTTGCATTTTTCTCATGTGGAACAGGAAGCACTCAAGAGAATCCTATTTATATTTGCTAAATTGAACCCAGGGATCCGCTATGTTCAAGGAATGAACGAAGTCTTAGCTCCGCTCTACTATGTTTTCAAGACTGATATTGATGAGTCCAATGTGGTGAGACAATTATAAATATACGTGTGGAAATGTACTGAAAATGTATTGAATAACGCATTTTTTCAATTCTTGCTCCGCCACCTCAGTGTCATGTGCATGCGATAAATATTGCAGCTTATTGTTGGGTCCTTGTGGCATGCAACTGGTTTGGTCTCTCGTTCGGAGAAAGCCTGAAAGACGCCTAATAGCAACTTGTGTGGTGGTCAGAAACATGCAGAGGAAGATTCCTTTTTCTGCTTTGTGGAGCTGCTGAGTGATTTCCGAGATCACTTCTGTCAGCAACTTGATAATAGTGCTGTGGGGATTCGGTCTACTATATTACAGATGACCCAACTGCTGCGTAAGCATGATGAGGAGTTATGGAGGCACTTGGAGATCACTTCGAAGGTATTCTTATGCAGAATATAATGCAGAATGTAACATGAACGTAGGCATGGACACGGCAGCGTGTAGCAACATGCGCAGCCCCAAGTAGTTGTGATGATCTTTTATGCGTTCTGCTTCTCTGCTATCATAGTTGATCTGATTGGTGTTAATAGTAGCTCCTATCTGATGCCACACTAGTAAGTCCCGAAGTCATGCTGACTTGCTCTTGGGAGTTTTTCCTGCATGTTTGTGTAAAGTATAAGGTTGGAAATTGAATTGCTTGTGTGTATCGACAGGTCAATCCTCAATTTTATGCTTTCAGGTGGATAACTCTATTGCTAACTCAAGAGTTCAACTTCGCTGACTCTATTCGTCTTTGGGATTCTCTTCTTAGCAACCCGGATGGTCCACTGGTATGCTTGCAGACTTCTTGGACTAGAGCTACTGCACTTGTGTTATCTTTATTGCACTAGTAGCTCAGCTGATGTTGTATGATACCGGCTTTACAGCTTTATGGCTTGATGCTGTTGTGTGGCCAAATTTTAAACGGTATTAGAAAATTATGTTCTAACTTATTTGGGCTGTTTCCCACAGGAAATTTTGTTGAGGGTTTGCTGCTCTATGCTTCTATGCTTGAGAAGCCGGCTTTTAGCTGGGGACTTCACAACAAACCTGAAGCTTCTTCAGCATTATCCATCTGTTGATATCAACCGTCTTCTGAAAGTGGCTGATGATCTGAAGGAGTTGAAATAATCTGTATGAGGTGCAATTGGAGATAATGAACTTCAATCGTTGTGCGATGCTTTATTTAAAGCCCCCTTGAGCAATGAAGAGTTAGTTTGGTGGGGCTTCCTTACTGTTCGGGCATTTGTAGATGGTCATGCAGCAGCCTTAAGACAGTTGGATGCGGTGATGGGTCCTGCTGAGACAGGTTGGTTGTTTTTGGTTCCTTTTTCCATCTATCTGCATCAGTGAATTCGACTGGGCATAGAGTTTCCCATGTGGGCCTTCTTCAAAGTGTCAAGATCCGAGACGGACAGTGAGCACACAGCTTGCCCACTTGATCGTTTTACTCATTGATCTGGGGGTGAATTGCTCCCCATTCTCACACAGATGTGTCTGCATAGTGATCCTTGGTACATCTACATGTGGAGGAGGCCCACATTATACATGTACAGTTTTCGGTCGATACTTGCAATCATGTTCCGTTTACTGAGCCCTTCTGTTTCCAGTGTTTATTATTATCGGTTTTCAGTAGCGATTAGTAGGCTTCCGGTCAAATGTATTTCTGTCAAGGTCTCCAAAGTGTTATTTAGTTCACTGCTATTCAATGCTTGTGAAGCTACCTCGCCATCTTGTGAATTCAGAGTTCCCATGTCCCCATCGCGTCTAAGTGCTTTAGAAAACCAAAGTGTTTGAAGCCAATCGGGTCATGTCAGAATTATGAATACTAACAGCTGCTCTGGGTATCAGGCCTTTTCATGCTTGAAGAAGAAAACAGTAGTATCGCAACTTGGTGTGAGATAAACTACGCAGGTCTGGCTTCTCTGATAAGGTCTACAAATGTCTTGGGTGCAGCTTAATTGCGCTCCTGCATCAATTCGCCTCTTCATCTGTTGCCCTCGTAAAGTGTCATTTGATCTATCAACTATTTTACTATTACAAAGATAACTCCTTGTAGCACAACATTGAAATAATCATTGTTATTTATAGTCCTCAATGATGCATAAATTTGAAAAAACATTATTAAAAAAGAAAAAAAGAAAAAAAGAAAAACCCCCCAAGTTCATGTAATATAGTGATGTTTGGTACATGATTCTATAAAGATATGTAAAAGTAAAAACACTCTAGGAGCCAGTTGCAGTAAAACAATACTTTGTTTTGTTTTCTTTTTTTGTTTATTGTTGTAATGTTTACTATTTAGTAAAATTTTTGTTTTATTTTTTGTTGATTTGTTGTTTGTTTTGTTGTTTTATTTTTTTGTATTGTGGCTAAGTGGGTTTATCTAAAAATTCAAGATATTGTAAAATTGCAAATCATTAAAAATGTACTTTCTTTTCTCTTTTTCTTTCTCAAAACCCTTTCGAAGCTGTATGATTTTCATATTTACGTATAATTCTCTATGGGAGTTTAAACAACAGTGACATCTAATATGACACCATAGTCTTATGTGTCACATGTTGACATGGCACTATCCATTGCAAGTTTTTTAACTTATTAAATATTCAATGGAGCTAAATAGGAGCAATTCTTTAATGTATGTATGTATGTATGTGTGTATGTATGTATGTATTTCTGTATTTTTAATTCTACTTCATTTTTATTTTTTTACATTATTAGTAATTAAAATATATAATCCTTCATAAAAAAATTATCTTTAATTTAGAGATTATTGAAGTGTAATTTTTGTGAACTTTCATGGCTTTAGAGATGAAACAACATCTTTTTCAGATGGAAGGTAGAATTTATATCATAATTAAGACTTTATGATTGATCTATTTTTAGAATATAATACAGCAATATTTGACCTCAAAACTTATTCAACATTCAAACACTTTACTAACACAATGCTAAAATAAAAGATATATCAATCCAAACCAACATTTGATAACATATAAATAACATAGAATGACTGAATTGTATACCATATTTATAGTACATATCCACGTATAACCTTTTAATATTTATTTAAAATACATACAATGACTTTTGATTATTTTCCAGAAATGGTTTTACAAAATAATAATCTTTAGACAAAAAAAAATTATTCATTGATACATTTTGATCAAAAAGTCATTTTCTAAGTTATCACACAGAATTGAAGTGAAATTGTTGGCAAAAAAGTATTAAAATTGCACTTACTGCAAGAGTGGTAAAGCTCTTAAAACTCTAGGGTTTTAATACATCTTGCAAATTTTAAACTTGATCTTTACTAGTACTATCACTCATGTAACACAACATTGAAACCAATCTGAAATATATACTTTCATAATATATCTTTACAGAATTTATCATAAGACAAGTTTAGAAAATGGAAGTGTTTCTGTTTTAACTTTTAAAATTACATTTCAAAATTTCGATATGTTAAAATCTGATTGAAAACTAAAAACTTACAAGATGCAAACTAGAACTTCAATTTTTGGAAAAGAAAAGTTCTAAGAGTTGTGATCTTACAAAAAAATTATCTGTATTTGAATTATTTACACATATATAAAATTAGGTTATGTAGAACAGAAATCAATGCATATCATTTTATCATTCAAATGTTTTCTTAAGTACAACAAGTTGTATCTTATATATGTATATATATATATATATATATATATATTTCTGAATCAATAAATTATCTATTTATTTTAATTGATGTAAAAAATCATGATTGTATTTTCAGAATATAAATATCATTCACGTATTCTGAGAATTTATTTGAATTTCTATGAGTTAAATTCATCAAAAAAATTAATTTAACATAAAACATGATATCTATTTTACATAATTAGATTCTTATATGAAATCTATATTTGATGTATGACGTAGGTTTAAATTCAATTTCCAACCATCAAAAGCTTAAAGTGGAAAACATGGTCCATGTTGCACCACCCGGGGGATGGACCCATGACCCAATCCATCCGGATAGATGGGCTGATCAAATGCTCAAGGCATGGAAAGTAAGAATAACACAATTTTTTTTTAAAATCTCAACAATTAATTTTTAGATGCAATTGAACATCTCAAGATTTAAACAATTCAACATCAAATAATTATTATAAAACATGATCTTTGCAATAAATTGTATTGAATTCTAATCAATTCCGACTTGAAACTCACATTTTGATTGAAAACCCAATTAAAATGAACAAATTGATGAAATTTGAATGAAGAGTTTTGAAATGTGCAAATTCATTATGAAAAACTATTTATTTCTATACAAATAGGTGGCTACATATCACAAAGAAGTTGGTGTGGCAAAAAGAGACTTGTCTCTTGTAGAAATCGGTGAGTGTGTAAAATATGGACCTTGTTCATATGGGTGCCTTTAGTTTCGAAGTTTATTGGTGTTAAGTTTGTACTTTCAAAGAAGTCTATTGTGATTTGATTGCACACCATAGTCATAAACAATCTCTTCAATTGATTAAAATTTTGAGGATTAAATAATAATTTATGTGTTGTGCATATTTTATTTTATTTTTATATAGACCAGGCAAAACCAGGTGAATTAGTGAATACTCCTAGATCACTACAGGCATGTATACTCTTGGGAGTTGATCCAAGTGAAATTCAATATCGGTAAAAAAATTTGATTATATTTTCGAAAAATAAAAAGCACAATTAATATTTTCAATGAAATCTTTAGTGTATGAAAATCACCACAGTTTTTTTTATTGAAATTATTTTCATACTTATTTTTGATGTCAATAAATATGCAAATATGTGTATCTATTTGTTTGTATGTATGTATGTATATATATATATATATATATATATAAGAAATAAAGTTTTCATGTTTAATGTGTGCATTTTAAACCTTAGGCCTTTTGAGTACTTTACTGAAAGAGGTTTATCGAGAGAATTTCAAGGAATCAAATACGAGTTCTATGAAAAAGCAAGAAAAGGTGTTAAGCAAATATTTAAGACCTCAAGAACTTTGATTGTTATGCAAGCCTCTATTCATTAAAGAAAAAATTGGCAATAATGCTTCAATCAATGATGTGGATGTTTACTTTTTAAAAAAATAAATAAATTTAAATTTAAACTAACTGGTTTTGAATGAAAGCATACATATAAATATATATATATATAGAATGAGAATTCAGAAATCTAACATAATAGGTATATGCAGAAAAAATATTGCAGCTGTTGAAAGAGAGAGAACGAATTATAAGTGAATGTGATACGGGAAAAATATTTATCAAAGATGGGAAAATTGTGGAAAAGGGCCCCAAAGGAGAATTTCCAAAGCCTAGTGAATCTGCTACAAAGGTTTATTACACATTCATGTATACATATATATATATATATATATACATAAAGTTAGTATCAAGTGTAAAATTATTAAATTTTTCACAATAGAAGAATAAATCCTAGTTTTACAATTAATGATAATACGGAAATTAATGTACACCATGTTAAGAATTGAAAAAAAGCTATTATTGTTAGAAGTATTGATTCACCAATTTTCAATAGATTCATGAAGTTGAAGTAAAGTGTTTTGTTATGATTATTATTATTATTACTTGATATTTTTGTATTTGATTTCATTCATAGGCTTTAAAAGCTGCAGAAGTAGCTCAAAGACGGGTTGAGAAAGAAAGACAAAAGAAGATGGAACTTGATGCTATTGCTAAAGTATGACAAACAAAACCCATATCATCTATTCTTTGATTTAAAACTTATGTATGATAAAAGAAAAAGAATTACAGGACTTGATTTGGCTGAATTTCATATTATGCACACACAATCAAATATAAATATGTAAATATAATTGATACCATAAAATTTCATTGAATGTAGAGATTTTCATGATTCTCAAAATATAAAAAAAAACCCAAAAAATATTTCCAGAGAATGCAAGAAGATGCTGCACGTGTGGCTGCATTATTATCAAAAAAAGAATATGAGCAGGTATTCTTCATTTCAAATTTGGAGATTTATTTCTTTTATTCTCTTATTTTTCCTAATATCGAATTGCATGAAGAAAAAAAATAGTTGTTCATTTCCTTCAATTTAAAAAAGAGAGAGAAAAAAAAAAATATATATATATATATATATATAGACACATGAAATAATTCATGTTTTGTTTGTTTGTTTGGTTGGTTGGTTGTTTTAATAAAACACCATGGCAGAGAGCAGAGAAGAGAAGGAAGGAGAAAGAATTTGCTGCTCAGCAAGCAGCCATTGCAGCTAAAAAGCTCGCTGAAGTGAGTCTTATTTCACTATAATCTCTTTCATATTTTGGCTTACTTCAATAAAAGAAATAATAATAAGAAGAAGAAGAAAGGATAGAAGAAGGTGATTCTTCATTTTTTTTTGTGTAACTTTTGTTATTATGTATATATATATATATATATATTGAGAATGAATGGGTGGTGCAAAACCATGTTTATTTTGTGTATGATGTTATTTAATGTAAACCATGTTTTTGTGTGTGTTTTTTTTAGTAATAAAGGGGGTGAATTATACAACATTGGGTGTTTTGTAGTAGGAGCTTGCAACAGAGAAAGCAGCTATTGCGTTGGCCAAGGAAAATTATGCTCACGAATTGAAGCTTCAGCAAGAAAGAGCCATTGCCGCTGTATGTATATAGATATATATATATATATATATATATATACATGTTTTATAGTTGTATGCGTGTGATATGTATTTTAACCAGTTTTGAAGGCAAAAGAAGTTTAAAATCGTAATCAATATCAATTTTACAATGCATGTTTAGTAAAAATAATCTCAAAAAAAAAAAAAAAAAAGAGTGACTCACCAGATAATACGAAAAAATTGGCCTGTTTGTGTTTAAAGTGCCTTACAAGTTCAAATTTACATGTTATCATATGTAAACATTGACTTCTTTTTCTTTCGTCTTAAAAGTATTGCAAATTTATGTAGGAAAATGCCAGAAAAATGGCTATGGCAGCTGCAAAGGAGAGAGCAGAGAAACAGCTTGCCTTCCAAAAAGAATTGGAGAAAATGCGAGAGAAAATGCTTCAAGTATGTTACAAAACCATCATATATATATATATATATATATATATATATAAGTGTGTATAATTTTTTAAAAGCTAGAAAATAAACTATATAAGACTTTTATATACAAATGGATGAAAAAGATGGGGGTTTCATTTTGTGGTAGAAAAGGATTAAGTAGGATGAATGAATAGTTAAATAATAGGATGAATGAAAATAATTTGGTGGGCATGATGCTTGATGAGACTTGGTTAGGAAGCAATACAAAAACGAAAGAAGTTGGAAGCCAAAGATCGCAAACTACTTCAAATCCGAGCCCTCAAGGAAGAAAAAATCAAGAAGATGAATGCCATTGCTCATGCGGAGGCCAAGAAACGCCAAACGGCAGCATTGCAAGCATATTACAACATGCTTCAAAAGAAGAGAGATGATTTCAATGCCAAAAATGAGGTTCATTGTTTTTTTTATCATGGCATCCACCACTCTTATTGAATAAAAATTTGTGAATCCTAAAAGAATTTCAAAGACTCATTATTGTTACTATTATTTAGTTATTGCAATCAAATAACACTAAAATTGTATCTTATAATACACATAAACAAGTCATTTTTAAAAAATTGATATCAACAATTAAACTAGTATACATGCACACAAAGAGGATATGTGTATGAATATGTATGTGGATATGTAGGAAGAGAGAGATGATGTGTTTTGTTTGTTTGGAAGTATATTTTTTTTGCAGGCAGTAGCTATTCAACAAGCAGAAAAACAAGCAGAGCTTAATAAAATATTGCAAGAAAAGCTCATGATGCAAGAAAAGGCAAATAAAGACCGACAAAGGACAATGGAACTAGCATATGAACAAAGAAAGAAACGAATTGAGGTCTCGCCTTCTTCTTCTATCTTTTTGTGTGCACCCCTTTTTATCCCTCACTTTGCAATCCAAAACCTTCTTTGAATTTCAATAGAGATTGAAATGATGTATGTATATGTGTTTATACTCATTGTTTGTATACATATATGTATGTGTTTTAATATATATATATATATATATATTTCATGAAATAATATTGGTTTTGAATTGTTTTTTGATGTTTAGAAAATTGTTGCAAAGGCAAATCACAAAGCTAAGTTGTTGAGAGAGTTTTTAATGCGCTCACGGCATGATCGTGTAAAGAAGAATGTTGTCAATCATCTTGAATACTCTAAAGCGCAGATTCTAGTCAATCAAACTGCACGAAGACAAGTAATAGTTCTTTTCCATCTCACAATGAACTATCTTGATGTTGTATATTTGTTCAATTTTTTAACTTTTAGATTCATTCTTTTTTCTTGAAAAGGATAAATAAATAAATAAATAGTGTAAGATATGTTGGTTTTGTTTATCAAATATATTGGTTAAAGATTGTGGAATAAATATACTTGTTCAAATAATTATTTTTGATTTGTTAATTTTTTAAAAGAATGCAAGAAGGATTTTTGACATTAAAATGCTTATGAATAAAATTTGTTGATTAGGCTCTACAAAGAAAACACCTATTAACTTATATTGAAGAACAAACTAAGAAAATACAAGATTTAATGGCAACAAGAATGAAAATTCAAAAGCAAAGGCAATTGTCCGAAGCCAAAATGATGTGGGCTCAAGGAAAAGGATGAGTCAAAGGAAAAATATCATTGATTCTTTAATGTCTTATGTATAGTATTCAACAAATGTGTTTCATGTGAATTACCATGTTTATGTTGTATAATATTTATTTTTTATTTTTTATTTTTTTATTTTAAATGAACAAATAAATAAATTCTTATGCTTTCAGGTAGCAATCAAATATTTTAAATGAAAGAATATTGTAGCTTATTTAATGCAAAAACTATCGCATTGAGTTTTTAATAAAACATACTTTGATTATTTGTCTTATGTATCTTACAGTCGTAGATTGTGATTGTATATGTTGATTTCAACATTCATATAATAGATATGTTTTCTTGCATATGTTTTTTTATTCATGCACAATTTTTTCTTAAAAGTTTAACAATTGTGATTTTTTTCTTGTTTTCTTCTCATAAATAGACCAAAGCAATTGATAAAAATATTTTTATTATCATTTTTTCTTGTTAACTTGAAGTAAGATAAACACTGAAAGTAATATCTTAAAAAAACTTGATCAAATTTAAGTTTAGAAAGCACAAATAATATTTGATTTACAAAAAATTATTTTCTCCTTTATAAACAAGAAGCAAGAGCTAAGTTACCAAATGTTTTTAGCATGTTCAAATTAGTGCAAAAAATTTGACTCCACACACACACTTCAAATACTTCATGTATTCTTGCCTAGTCAAAACACTAAATTCAGATATCAGCCTTGCAGCAAAACTCAAACTCAAACTCTGAAAACAAATCTTTCAAAAAAATATTATAACCTTGTGATTGCATGTCACTTTAATGGACTTGCGTACAATATCCCAAATGAAAAAAAATTAAAATTAAAAAGACATCACACTTCACAACAAAAATGAGCACATCCAGCCGAGATAAATGTGTTTACTCTAAAACCTTGCTACCTATACATTAGGCTTTCTTGTATTACGCGCCTCCTAAACCTGGATACGGTCCCAAAAATTTGAACAATTAAACGCATGAAAATAGTAATCGATTCCCTGTTCGAGGTACCCATACCTCACCCAAGCAAATACATTGCGCGCCTCCAAATCAATATTAGATGGTGAAAAAGATGACGAAAATGCTCGGCATTTTGCTTCACTGATGCAGATTCAGGCATAGTGGCAGTAGACATGCCACATTAAGTCTCGCACGTTTAGGATGTCAATGTACATATCAGCTCCTAATAGTAATGGGAGCTCACTCCAACCAATCTGGTGCATGCGTAAGGCAGTTTCAAAGCCTTGAACCAGAGGTACAATACAACCCAAGTGAACACAAAAAAGAAAAAAAAGGGACATCAACAGTTTCCTCCAGCCGGGGCCTTTTTCCAGCTTGAGCTGGGTCACGGCAATTCACTTGGCGCTGCTAATGGAAATGGTTACGAGTAGTGATCTCCACTTACAAGAAAACCAGCATACTCTGCCTCCATGAACCAGGAAAAATCAGAAGTCCCGGATCGAATTTTCAATCAAGGAAGCCAGTCTGCCTGAGCACTGCATTACGCACTCGACTCAAGTCCCTTCCTTTCAGAGTACGCCCAGCACCTTCACACACAGAAAAGGTCGTCATCTGGCTTTGAGCATATTCTCGTTGGATGTGCAAGTGAGGGGGCAGCCTCTCTTCCTGCTCATCCTCCTTGTCACTATCCACATCTTCATCGGCCCACTTGTGCTTTTTCTCAGCTCCCAAAATTTTCGACCAGTCAGGGACATTTACTGGAGCTGACTGATGCATCATTTGCCTTGGACTATCCTCACGGATTTGAGCAATAGCAGGAATCATTCTTAAAGGGGTTGCAATCCCTCTGGCCTCACGGCTGGAGCTTTGACCGGCATAGTTAGCAAAACCTCCAACAAGCTTGTGTGGGGAACGACCGTACGCCCTGCTGCCATGGTCTGCGAAAGCTGCAGACAAACCTGGTTCCTGATCAAGCCCTACCCACCTCATTCCAGTATTCAGGAACCGATAAGTGTCAGAGCTGTCTGGTCTGCTATTACTGGAATTCCCATCCAGCGTAGGATTGTTACTGCGTGATCCATCAGCTCCGAAATCCCAAACGTCTTCTTCATGCAATTCGCTCACATCATCTGGGTCGTGTGTGGAGGTATTATACGCTGACGAGTACCCCAGGAATTTATCCGCTCTACTGACACCACCTCCTCTCTCGAAGCTGGATCTCGACATTACGAGTGCCAAGTAGGGGCCACCTACTTATTCACAAAAGGGTTGCCAGTGAGGAATTTGCGAGTCTGTTTTAAAAACTTCAAAAATATATCATAATCCCAGCCAGAGACCCTTGTCGGTTCTTGTAACCGTATGGGAACTCTCGGAAGTTCCTATGAGCTCAACAACCAAGATTTACTAGCTCAATGGGTGTGACATCATATTTCTGAGACTCAGAACCATAAATTGCTATACAACGAACGAATCTCTCGTATCTACAAACGACATTCTTCTCGTTCAAAAATTTAGATACAAGAACTGTCTTACCGTATAATCCAGGTCAGGGAACTACAAAGCCTAATGAACAAATTAAAGTAGTTTCAAATCAGGATGCTGACGATTTTGCCCAACACTTAGAAGGCAACAAAGAAGTGGTTCACTCGGACACCCACTTGCAGGACAGAAGTCTAATTCACAACCCTAACAAGAACACCAAGGGACGATCACAACTCTCCCTGATATATATTCCACACAAGGATTACCTTTTAAAAGAGACTTCGCGGCACTTCAACCTAGGAAAAATTCGAGCTTCACAGAAAACAGATGGTGACGCACGCGTTGTCTAGTCGACATCTACCATCTCGTACAAATAACGGCAAGACGAGCCCTGATTGAGCATAATAGGTAGCTAACCGCCAAAATAAACCACACGGATAAGCACACAGAAGTCTTACAATTCTGTTCCCGAGAATCTCACGCTCCAAGACGAACGTGCGGGCCAGCAACCTGGAGCGGAAGCAGGAGTCCTGTACGTTGCTACTACTAAACCTCAGAGAACGTAACATGGGTACTACAACAAATGCAAAAAAACACACACACACACACACACGAACACACTCACACCAAAAACCATCACAACCCAAGCTCTAATCCCCACTCTGTTCCACTACACCAAGCCGCCAACAAGCTACACCTCCATCTACGTCACTGACAAAACCTCATAAGACCAACCGACATGTCATGAGCCTCACCTTTGCCAAAGAGCTGCTGCGAAACTATCTTCGCGGCAACGACTAAATTCTCGCACGAAACTTGCTCATCACACAACCACCTAATCTTAAGAAACCAACGAAACTATTGTAAAAAGAAAACCCACTAAAACGAGAGCGTTTCTCCCCCCATACTTCTCGGACGCGACACCCGATCTCACACGCTACACGGTTAGATTGCCGGCAAGTGCAAGCACACACACACACACACCCTCCGTGAGAACAAAGCCCCCCTCCCCCACGAACACACATTCACCACTCTGCAAACCCACTTTCCATTTGTAAAACACTCACTCACTCACACACACACACATTACACCCCACGAGAGACGAAACTGCTTCTCTATGGGCTCTACAAACTCCGCATCATCGTCATCATCATCATTATCAGACCGTTCTACGCCTGAGCTACGACGACGACAACATTCTGAACAGATCCCACTGAGGCTCCACGCCCAAGTAGCGCGATCGTCGGTCGGAGCTCAACACCACAACGCCGCTGCACTCATTCACTCAGTCACTCCCCACCTTTCTGCCGCTACTTGCCATCGCTGCGACCTCTACCGCTACCGCGCGTCTAAACCCAGTCAACATCGCGGCTACTACAGGATACGCGCGTCGGGTCGCGTCTGGTGGCGTCATGCGGCGGGAGATCGAGGCATCTGGTCTTAAGGATGAGGACAAGCCTCGTGACGGGTTACTAACAATAGTAGTCTTTGTTTGATCATAGGGTGCGTACGACTGAGCCGGGAAGCGGCGACCGGAGGCCGTTGCAGGTGGAAACGGACGTACGGCTCAGGTATGGGAATGGGTGGGCCGGGTGGGCCCGCGGCGGCTTAGTTCAAGGCTCCCCGCGATTTTGGTTATGACGCAAGCGAGCGTTAGCGGCGCAATTCTACAGCTCCCCCCCTAGTGTAGGACAATGTGGATTAGATCCCTCTCGCTCTCTCCCCCGCCCTCTTAATTAAGAGAATCTGTGGAAGAGCTACAATTGCGGGCAACATGTGCACCCTAGATTTTTTATTATATCCCTCCATTTCCCCCTTTGTCTTCTTCTTCCTCTAGTTGCCTTCCCCTGTCCTCTATTTCATTCATCCTATGTCTTCACATCCGTCCATATCCATCTTCTCGTCCCCATCGTCGCCGTTGCTCTGCCACCGCTCTGTTGAACGGTCCGATGGGTCGGTACACATCGCCGTGAATTGCCCGAGGGTCTGATACCGTGGTACTTATTACCGTTTTATCCCCATCCTTCCATTAATTAAGTTCAGTCTGTTTTTGCAACTTGCATCTCAACTTCCTTTAATGGAATTTTTTGAATGGAATTCTTTTTGACAAATATGACTTTAAAAAACGGAAGTCAAATGTTGGGTTTCGCAATTTCGCAGAATTTTCTCTCTTTTCAACCAATACTTGTAGATTTCACATTGTGAGTTATTTATTATCATTATTATTATTATTACTGTAGATGGATGTACATAATTGTTTTAGATTTATGTGATTGGTGTAGAATAACTTGCTATGTTCTTAAGTAAATTAAATGGCATTATAAAGACCATATTAATACAGGTTTAAAAAGTAAACCATTAAATAAAAAGTGTGAAGATTGAGTGAGTCTAATAGTATATCATGTATCATGTAATTGTAGGTATAAAAGAAGGAACATGATGGTGATAGTGGTGATAAATATTAATAGTGAGAAAGTAGAATAATTCAGAACATACAAGGAAGATTGAGATTGATATCTTTGAAGAGGTTGATTTTCATTCTGTGTTACATTTCAATTTTAAAACAAAATATTACATGTGTATGTGTGTATATGTATGTGTATATATATATATATATGAGCAATTTTTTTATATTGATATATATTTATATACATATGCAAATATATTTATCAGAGCCTAACTTTTTTTCCATTCTTTAAGAAACTAAGACATTTCATCTATTTTTACAGAGCTCATATATCCAACAAACAAATGACAAATTACTTAATAAAGAAGAGTTGCACCTCTTTTAGAAGAAAAAAATCGTTTAATATCAAAGTAATGATATAAAAAATTAAAAATTAAACAACCACTTAATATTGATAAATAATTTAATATTCAAGGATTACAAAAAAATCAAAGCACAACAGTTTTGGAGCAAAACAATACTGGACTACAAAAAGGTAACTTGTGTACAAGAGAAATCCTCCAATTGCTCAAAAATAAAACAAATATAAACATTTTATCCAAAATAATTGACAATTATTAAACAATTAAAATCTATTGAGATGAGATCCAATAATTTTACTTTGACTAACATATAAAGCATTGTCCTACAATACGCCTTTTACAAGATACAACTTTGTTCAAGCTAATATCATAGACTACCTTCTAAAACAATAAAAGCATTTCTAAATGTCTTGTTATTTCTACAATAATTAAGTGTTGCAAATTTATTTATATATTGTTTTATTTTGATCTTTGAGGCATGATGGAATGGCACCACTAGAATCTTATGAGATATGTTGGAACCTAATTGAACATGAATTTTCTTAAAATGCTACAAAGAAAACATTGAAATTGGCAAATTCTTTAAGAAGAAAGAAGGTCTCAGATGACTCGATCATGTCAGTGTATTTCAAAAGCTGTAATTCACTGCTTTTTAGATTTTATGTCCAGTAATGTTAATAAAATGTTGCTTACAAGATCCAGACAAAAGAAATTTAAATATGGACACAAATCATATTGATGAAATTAATAAGCTTCAATAAATTGGAAGAATTTTCCTCTTACTTTATTCAATAACTATTCTTCTTATCAAATAAATCATTGTAAGGGTTAAAATAACAAACCCATGAGTATGTTGTATGATCTACATTCAAAATTTATAATGTGAAAGATGGGACCCCACTTGCTTATGACCATAGAGAAGTTGAATTTGCTCTTTTGACAATACCCATCTTTAACAAGCAATGAAAAATAACTTATAAATATATATATATATATTTTATTATTATTTTAAACAAAAGTGAAGATATGCAACAAAAATCACCTTGGTTCGAATCTTTTGTTTTATTTTAATTATTGGAGAATTGGTTTATTGAAATATTTATTAATGTTGTAATAAAAGGTCATATTGAGTGCTCAATGATATAAAACAATAATATGCCTCAATGTGTCTCTCAATGTGCAGACAAATTCACACTTTTATTACACAGAGTGCATTCTTCCATGTATCATGCAAATTTAGTGTTACCAAACTTTGGTAATGCTTTTGGATTATAAATTAGTTAACACAGATTGAGTTGTTATCAAGAGGAATCAATAAGGTTAATAAAACCTCCGTAAATTTCCCAACTCCTATAATAGATGGGTAGTAAAATATTGAATTTTTTTGGGTTGATATTTTCAACAATAAAAAATAAAAAGATGTAGATTGGTGTTGTTGAACTAAAATATACTAAATCAAATTATTGGTAAAAAGTTTTAAAAACACATATCTGGAAAAAAGAACCAATGTAATATTATTTTAGTATTGTTTTGATTTTGCATCACTCTGATTTTATTTTATTTTATAAATATAAAGTTATGATTAAGATTATTTTTACTTAACTACTTTTTAAAAATCATTTGAGGATTAAATACAATGCAAGATAATACTTTCGTGCTTTTGCCAACTTAAATAACATCAATGAGTTAAGATTCCAATACCTGGTTGAAACAACATTGGCCTTGGATTCATAAAAATTGTATATATCTGTATATGTATATACTTTATTCTTTTCTAAATGTTTGATTTAGAAACTTCAGTGACACAAAGTACCCACAAGTTAATTGGAGTCATTTTCACCTTACAAAGTGAAAAATTCCAATCTGTAATGTGTGTCATACATTCTCTTTGAACCACATTTTTCATGAAAATGTGGTTCGAGAGATTGGGAAGCTGGCCTTCGAATTGTGATGACATGGGTAGTTTCTTGTCTTTTCTTGTCTTTTTTTTAAGTTCCACACATCTTAGATTCAAAAATTATGTTTTGTGCAAGAAAGTTATCTCTTTCTCTAAAAAACGTCTATGCATAAAATTGAAGCAAAAGTGAATTACTAAAAGCATAAGCTCATCAATTTCTGGAAAAGGCCCGGCAACAGCGTCGTCGTCGACGAAGTCCGTTCAAGGGGGGGTGGGGGACGTGGTTTGTCGAAACTGCACAATGACGGGGTTGCGTTGGAGATGGAGACGGAGTGTGTGACGTGTTGGAGGAAGTGGGGTTCCATGTGGCGCTGTGTAAGTGTTGGTGACACCTCTCTCGTTGGTTGCGATGGAACAACGAGCAAAGACGACGACGACGAAGAAGAAGGAGAAGAAGCAGAAAATGAAGACGAAGAAGATGATGAAGATGGAGTAGCAGCGGTGTTTTTGTGTAGGATTTGAAGGCAGTTTTGCATTAAAACCCAAGTTTCTGTTATTTCTGTTATAGAGCAGGGATTTGTGAGGCTTTGTGGGGTGGGGAGTGAGTGGAGGCGAAGAGCAGGGAGGAGGAATGGCGAAGCGAAGATTTGAACTGGGTTTGTGGGTGGGTTTGATATTGCTGGTGGATTTTGTTTGTGGGACTGTGGCGCTGGCGAAGTTCGATGTGAGGCAACATATCTCCAGTACCACCAGGTGAGGGCGTGAGTAGGTTTCGAATCTTGCTGTGATGGAAGCGATGAGTTGGTGTTGTATGTTTCGTTTCGTTTCCATTGAGTGTCGTCTGAGCATTGATCCGATGAAGCCTGCTTGGATTTGAGTCCTTCTGCTGTGCATTTGTTGGACTTTAGGGCTTGGAAACGAGCTCGTTTCAGCGTGTATTAGCATTGCTTGCTCAGGTGCGTGTGTGTAGCTTAGGTGGTCGGTGGGTTTAAGATGGAGAAGTTTTCTATGTCAGCGACGGATCACTTACAAAAGTCGTGCTAATTGTATTGATTGCGTGCATGCGTTTGCAGTTATGAAGCTGGGAGAAGGATCGAGTATGGGAATGAGATTGTGAGCTCACCGGAGGGTTGTGTCCCCGTTCATATCAATCTCGTGGTTAGTTTTAGATCCCAATCCTAAATGTGTATGGTGAATTTCGTTACCTTACTGTTGTGTTTCTTCTTCAATTGTGGACCTGGGCTCTACGTTCGTTTCGATTCAGCTATAGTTTGATAACAGCTGGTCGTAGACTTATCTGTGCTTGGTTTGGCAAAGATATTATTGCATGAATCAGTGAACTAGAGACTCTATGTTTGCTTAAGAGTTTAAGGTTTTAGCTCCAGTGACTTGTAAATCCTCCCCTGTTTCTGCAATCGTGGAAACCCCTTTCTCAAGTAGGGTTTGAATGGTGATTGTTGTCAGGCAAGACATGGAGTACGCAGACCTACCGAGAAGAGGATCAAGGAGTTGGAAGGTTTTGCAGACAGGCTTCGTGTTTTATCTGCGGAGGCAGCTAAAAATCAAAATGAAACTACGTCCCTACCGCCTGCGTGGATCAAAGAATGGAAGTCCCCATGGTCGGACAAGCAGATTGGAGGGGAATTGTTGCCGAAAGGTGAGGAGGAGCTCTATGACTTGGCGTTGCGTTACAAGTCCAAGTATCCGGAGATATTCTCGGAGCAGTACCACCCCGATGTATATCCAATAATTGCTACTCAGGTAAAACATGAGATCTATATTTTGGGATACCGCGTATTCCCATACCGCTTGATATCTGTCTGGCTGTCACCAAAATCATGAATTGAGGTGAGTTTGATATGTTTGCTTTTCAGGTCGGCAGATCCTCAGCAAGTTCCGTGGCTTTTGGAATGGGAATGTTTGCTGGTCAGGGGACGCTAGGTGCAGGGAAGCAGCGTGCTTTCTCTGTTATTACTGAAAGCAAGGGGCACGACGTTCATCTTCGCTTCCACGACACATGTATGGCTTACAAGGTACATTTCTGTGTATGCTATAATATCCCCACACTGTACTGTCCAATTTGTCGATGTGATGGAATTGGATTATGGAACTGGTTGAGAGAATATCTCTTTACAATGTCCAATGTGGCTGCGACATAGACTTTGTTGAGACGGAGATATATGTAACTCACGTTCTACTTGCTCCAAGAATATGATCAGCTGATTGTATTGTAGAAATAACTAATTTGAGTTCAATAGGTTCCTGACGTGTCGTCCGTGTTTTTTTGCTGCATGTAGGAATCAAAGAAATTGCGGAAGCCCAAAGTAGCTGGTTGGCAAGCGGGAGTATACGATCTTGTTGCTAAATCAGTGCAGGGTCGGTATAGTTTGGCGGTCAACAACAGTGACGTGGCCACTCTTTGGTTATTATGTAAAAATGTATATTCTTGTCACCCCTTTCTTTGGATGTCCTTGTATTAAAGTTTTGAATGGTGGTTTCGTAAGGAATGTTCTGCAAGTCAGTAATCTGTCTCTTTACACGTCTAAATGTTGGAATGATTGGTTTGCTGCTGTTATTTTGTTTTTTAACAGGAAGCTTCTCTTTTGGATATCGTTGATCAGGCTTGTGGAATGTTCACAACTGAAGAGGTATGTTCCACTCGATCACTAAACTGTATTACAGTTAATTACTTCCATCAGTTGTTCAGATCTTTAAAGCCTCAATCGACACTGTTGTATTATCCTTATTGTGCTGATGTGTTTTTATCGTATGTTGTGCTTTTTTGCAGATAGAGTGGCTTGAGTGGGCCGACGACCTAGGGACTCATCACTTGAAAGGTTATGGAGATACGTTGAACTACCGTATGGGCGTTCCTTTGTTAAATGACGTGGTGAAAACAATGGATCGTGTTATAGCAGATGCTCGTAAGTTCCAGAACAAATTCTCTCAAACATTCTTCTGTTGATTGAATCAACTTTTTCACAAGAAAACCTTTAGATCATCTGCTTAGGTTGTTCACGTTTTTAGCATGTTGGCCATTGCTGTGTGCAATGTTGCATGATATTCAGTCTCCATTGCCGCACATTTAGCCTCACAATTTGTTGTAGGAAATTAATACTGATGTCATTTGGTCACATATGCAGAATCCAAGAAGACAACGGAGAAAGCCAGGTTGCGTTTTGCGCATGCAGAGACAGTTATACCGTTTAGTTGTCTTCTTGGCTTGTTTCTAGAAGGCACTGGTAAGTTGCTTTGATTTTCCGCCCACTCTCTAGTCTTTTGTTGTGGTCATTACTTAAATTCGTATTGGTTGTGGTTATCGTCGCTGTTAATATTTCTAAACGTCAAGGTTCAAATAGAACAACCCAACAATAAATCTATCAAGTGTATTGCAGATATAAAGTCGATTCAAAGTGAAGAACCGTTGAAAGCTCCTCCTAGACCTCCACATCAGCGCACATGGCGTGGTGCTCTTGTGACGCCCTTTGCAGCAAACACAGCTTTGGTTCTTCACAAGTGTTCTACGGATAATGGGGCTGGAATGAAATACTTTGTGCAGGCTTTGCATAATGAAAGGCCCGTGATCATGCCTGTAAGTAGTTACTCATTGAGTATCACCTTTTTTGTTAACTGGAAACTATTATGCTTGGAAGTTTTTCTCAACTAGGCATTTCAATGCAAATGCATTGAAAATTAGTAACGATCTGGTTTACTTGAGAAGAATAACATGGTTAAATTACATGGTTGCAGGCATGCAATGGTACACATTTCTGCCCAATTGAAACCTTTAAGGTAATCTTATATCTGTGGCGTTGTAGTTATGATCATTTTTCTAGTCGATTAAAAATCCCTCTTTTGCATATTCATAACAATCGATTTCTCATTTCTGTAAGGTTTGTTGTAGTTAAGATGATTGAATACTCGCAAAAAGCTAGTGACATGATAAGTACACATATTCATCTTCTGATTGCAGTGTAAGCTTTTCGTTCCTACATGTTCAATGTACATCGTCTAGCTCGTGGCACATTGCACTGACCATGGGTTCAAAATTCTTGCTAAAAATCAGGAACATGTGGTTGCGCCACATACGAAGCGGAGCTATGAATCACTGTGCAAGATGGAGGTGGTCCACGAGCCAGTTCATGACACATTTTTGTCGAAGTTCTTCTACATTCCGTCGCACTTGTTTCGGTGGCTTTTCCGTTCAGCTCCTGCTCAAGGGGATTGTCATACAGATCTGTAAGCAGAAATTTTGTCCGAGTTCAGTGCACTTCTACACCAGGACAAACTTTGATTATGGATTAGAATTTGGTAGCAGACACAAGGTTGTATTATCATCGTGGTGACGTAGATATGCATTCTATGATTCTATTGGTACAATGTGTAAATTTTGATCAATCAATTTGCAGTTTGGTATTTGGTGGGGGTGTGGTTGTGCTAGCTGTTGGTGCTAGTTTTCATTGAAAAAATTGCATCTCCTGCAGTACTTGTTTATGAAATCAAACACAGGTCTCTGGGCATGTCCATAAAGAGCAATTCTGTTTTATTCAGTTGGAAATATTTTAAAATCATTATTTGTCCATTATTTTACTAAAACCGTGTTGTTACATACAATTTCTTCAAAGTCAAGGTTATAACACGAAAACCCCTACAATTAGATTGCAAGAAAGGAAGGGGAAGTGGACCATTTCCTGACTGAAATCTGGTTGCGTCTTGTGTTGCTGCCCACTTCAATCTTGTTCCACTATCCATTTTAGATTTGCATCTTTGGATCTATAGAAGTATAGTCAAACTCAACTAGGAAGTGAATGCAAATTTTTGGCTATAATAGTTAGAATTATTTTTTTAATAAATGTTTTTATTTTCTAAATAGAAGACATGTTAAAGACATTATGTTGCATAATATAGTTGGTTATCAATAATTTAAATGTTTTAAAATTGAGCCCTAGTGGCAATGTTGGTCTTAGTTGAATTCACATATTGATTTATCAAACCAAACTATATTGTTTGAAGATATTGCATCTTTTGTGAAGTTATTTTTGTCATCTATAGGCTATTCTATTAACTTTGGGTTGTATATTACTAAATTAAGACATCTTTGAATTATACGTTTGGATGAACATTAATTTCAACTATTTGTGCTTTCTAATAAGAGGTTGGTTTTCATTGTATGTAAAATAGATAATAATTATAATACATCATAAATTTACATGAATAACAAAACCATAATATAAATTAATAAATATATTTAAATGAAATATATATATATATATATATATATATATATATATATATACAATGGATATTATACTTTTATAACAACACATAGGTATAAACATCTAATATATGATTTATTAATATATATAAGAACATTATATATTAAAATTTTAACAAAATTTAGATTCAATATTAAGCACCTAAATTTAATGAAATATAAATCAAAACTAATTAATTTAGAGAATTATTAATGCTACATCTCTAATTGATATCACTACACCCCATGTGATCTCTACACAACTTAAATTGACTAACAAGTGCACTTCTACTTGTAGGGCATATTTGGCAATCTAATATTTAACTCCAATATTTAACAAGTTATTTGTATTTTTGTCAACCAAATAATAATAATAAAAGTCTAATAAAATGATATACATATTTTTGGAAAATATATTTTTAAAAATAGTTTGTAACCTATTTTTTCATAAAATATTTTCTATCTCTCTCAACCACCACCCTTTCCTTAAACAAAGAAAGGGAAAAATACACAAAAGAAAGAGACATATTATTAGCTAGTTGTCTACAAGAAGGTCATGTGAGATGTAGCAATATCAATTGAGAGAGTAGCATTAAAAATTCTCTTAATTTATTATTATATATAGGAATGTATAATTTCAATTTGAATGGAAAAAATTAAAATTCTATATACAAAGTGGCAATAACCTTCAAATATGACTTGTGATTTTAATTTAAAAAAAAAAGTAATGGTTTTAGAAAATATCATTGCTAATACCAATAACAAAAGTTTATCTTCTGACAAGCTTATTAAAACAAATAATGTTAACAGAGTTTTTTTTTTTTTTTTTTTTTTTTTTTTTTAATGGTACTCATTCTCTTAAAGAAAAAAACAATGTTTATTCAAGAAAAAAAAAAAAAATCTCAAAAAATTAAGTGTTATCTTCTTCAACAGGAATGCCTTCAAAGCAGTTAAAGTTCATACTTTAAGTTTCTAAAATTTCTCAATAATTAAAATTATATATATATATATATATATATATACACAAACGAACACTTTCAGGTGTATGAAAATTTTAATGATCTCCACAGTGCCAAAAGAAATTGGAACACATTGTGAGCCAAAATGAAGAGCAAAGCCGAGGCAAATATTAATTAAAATATGGTGCCCGTAGGGCAGCGGGCAGCAGTAAAGGTTCGGCCTTCTGCCCGAGCCAATTATGGATGACACTTCATCCATCTAATATCTATCCACAACTATTCATTCATCTAAACGGCAGTTCAGCCGGACTGGACTCGGGGCTACCGACACCGAGAGAGTAGAACTGGCGGGGTGACGAAGCTAGGGTGCCGTGGAGATGCCTTCAACAGTGGACTCCGCCCAAATTGTGTGTCGAATCAACTGCAATCATGAGCTGCATATGAGACCAAACCGAAAGCAGCGGTAAAACTGGTGCGGATTAGCTGAGATCAGTCGAAAACGCTTTGAAATCATCCTCTTTGAAGAGAGTTCGATATTTTGGAGGTGAGGAATGTTGGGTGGGTGGATCAGCACCTTGTTTGCTTGTTGGGTTTATTTTTGTTTGTTGGTTGGTATCTCTTTTGGTTAATTTTTGTCTTGTTGCCGAGGTGGGTTTTTGAACAAGGTGAAGGAGTCGCAGACGGAATGGTATGGCCAATGGGGGCGACAATGCGGCGAAAGGGTGAGAGTTCATGGCCTTCATCTCACAACAGAGCGTTTCATCGTCACCGGCGCCGGTTCGTCTCTTTCCCACTGAGCCCCAATGTCTCTTCGCCCCTCTCTCCCCCTGATCCTCCCTTCGTGCCATGCTTTGACGACTCCAACCCCGTTCTTCATTCGCCTTACCTCCCGATCGGCCGACTTGCTTATGTTCATCTGCTGCGACTTGCTGTAACAGACTTCCGTTGCCGCAGTCAGACGTCGATTTGCTGCTCCTATGCAGTTTTACGAGAGGAGAATAAGTGATCGACTTATCACGAAGGATGTTTGGAAGTTTGTTCAAGCTTTAGCTGATCATTCGTTGTTCGTCTCGAGAGGATGAACAGGAGAGTTGGGTGAAACATGCGAGTTCTAGCGAACTTTGTGTGAGTTTGTGTGCTGGTGCTGCCAGGTTGAGGTGTGAAGGTTCGTAAGCATTGTTAACCTGGGTAGGTTCTGGGGACCCCAAGACTCGTGGTTCTACTTCACTAAACGGCGGAAGCCTGGTTTTTAGAAAAGGGTCAAAACGACGAACCAAAGGCAGCAGGGATGCAGTTGCTGCGGCTCCTTGGGGTCAAGCACAATGGCCGGAAAGGGCGTCTTCAAAGAAATACTTGATGGAGATGTCTTCAAATACTACGTGGATGGGGAGTGGAGAAGATCCTGCTCCGGACAATTCATCAATGTACAAAATCCCTCCACAAGAAAACCAATGTTTAGAGTGCAAGGTATGAATACTTCAATTCGAATGTTCTGCTAATGTCCTCTAGCTCGTGAGCAAAATAGTAGGTTGCCGCGTTTTATTTGATCTTTTAAGAGGTGGAGACCAGCAAATGGTATGAAATCAGGACTCAACATATGTCCATACTCGTTCTAAGATGTAGGAAAGAGCATAATGCGGAGTCAGTAGGATGCAATCCGGACTTCCTCTTCACCATGCACAGCTATTGAACCGTTCTTAAGTAAAACCAAATTGAGTCATGAGGAGAAGTTTTTAACAATTTTTTTTGGAATCATTTGAATTTCTGATAAAGAGGAGTTCAATTGCTGCTCGTACTGAGAGTAGCACTGCCTGTGACCCTCATAACATTCTTGCCACAAGCTGAGTTCCAAAGTCAGTTGACAATAGTGAAGAAAATACATGTCAGTTGCGTTGGTTAATGAAATAAAAACAGAAAAGAAACGAAAAGAAGCGAAAAAATTTAATTGTTCAATGAAGAGTGTGTAATCTAAATCAGGAGATCTACATCTAGTAATATTATAACACTAGCAAGTGCATAACCGGCCATGAGGGTGACTGTCTCTTTAGCTTCTACATTACTGTTACTTGATTGAATAAGCGACATTCCTGTCACAGCCTGCACGCAAGACGAAGTCAACAGATGCATAGATAGTGCTAAGGCTGCACAGAAAATTTGGGCAAGGACACCTCTCTGGAAAAGAGCCGAAGCTCTTCATAGGTGTGCCGCCATCATGAAGGAACAAAAAGCACCAATTGCAGACTGTCTCGTAAAGGAGGTCGCGAAGGCTCTTAAGGACGCTGTTGTGGAGGTAGGAGAAGTTTCCACATCTCACACTGAAACTGCGTTGCGGTTCTGAAGAAAATCTTCTTTTTCAAGATAATTTGTCGTTGAATAGTTGGTGTTCTGGGTGATTTATACATGGGAGATAGTCTTGAACCCTCGGGATTCAAATTCTTAATGGCTTGTGGCTCAATTTTTTCTTCTGAAACTCTTTCGTGGCCCCTTAACGCTAATATTTCACAAGACTGAAGTCGTATGATGTGTTTTTTGTGCATCATGCAGGTTGTCCGATCTGGTGATCTTTTGTCCTACACCGCAGAGGAGGGAATCAGGATTCTCTCTGAGGGAAAATTCTTGGTATCCGATCCGTTTCCAGGAAATGAAAGGAACAAATACTGCCTTTCTTCCAAGGTGATGTAATCTCCATCATATTGTCATTTCATAATCATATGAACTCCGCGTCACCTTTTGGGTATGTTAACCATTTTCTATCCTAGCTTTTAATTGAGGAAGTGACTCTTGCAGCTTCCAAATTTATGGTAGGTTGTAAGAAGACGACAACCACATCCATCCAACCGATTGCAGAACTCGGTTTTCTTTTATCATGTTCTTAGACTGGCATCGTATTAGAACTTCTTTCTTTGTCGTTTGGTGGTCTGTAGTTGAAGAATTACTTCTGCCCTTTCCATGCCCAGATTCCTCTAGGTGTTATCCTCGCAATTCCACCTTTCAATTATCCTGTCAACCTGGCCGTATCGAAAATGGGTCCAGCCCTCATTGCTGGGAATGCAGTTGTCCTGAAACCACCTACTCAGGTAATCTTCACCTACGCATGTCTTAACAGTTTAAACTGAAACACAACGAACACTGCACCGGAATTAGCATCCTCCTACAAGTACGTGTTAAAATTTCCTGCCATCAGAGGAGGATCAAAATTCAACTTTCCTACTCACATTAGTGTGTACACATTGGTGCTCTTGATAAATTATCATAACTGGCAGTTAAGAGCTCGTGAGATTAAGAATAACCATTAGAATTAGCTGAATTTACGTCAAAATTCTTGTGCAGGGAGCTGTGTCATGCTTGCATATGGTACATACCTTCCATTTGGCAGGTTTTCCAAAAGGTTTGATATCTGCGGTGACCGGTAAGGGAGCAGATATTGGGGATTTCCTCACGATGCACCCTGGGATCAATTGTATCAGGCCAGTCTCTAGGCCTCTGTGTGTTCAGAGAATTTTCTCATATTTTGATTTTCGACGCAATATAATGGCCTTCGTAACTAACTCAATTCGGTTGTGACACGGACAGTTTCACAGGAGGTTGCGAGACAGGGATTGCAATTTCAAAGAAAGCCGGTATGATACCACTACAAATGGAGCTGGGAGGTAAAGACTCCTGCATTATTTTAGAAGACGCTGACTTGGAACTGGCAGCTACAAATATCATCAAAGGAGGTTTTTCTTACAGGTTTGTCATTTACGCACTTTCATCGTGATTGTCATGGAGGATTACACGTATTCATTTATGAAGTATTTCCATTTTTGCAGCGTTAGAATGCATTTAAACCAATGTCTTCTTCTGATAGTTCCAATAAATTTAACCAGCCTTCCTTTGGAATTAACTGAAGAAGCACTTATTCTTGGGGTCAGAAAGATCCACTTCGATATCTGATACGCACAATGCGAATTTAGTGCGGTTGTTGCTTGTATGACTGCAGTGGACAGCGGTGCACAGCTGTAAAAGTAGTATTGGCAATGGAATGCATTGCAGATCAGCTTGTCTGCAAGGTCAACGCTAAACTCGCCAAGCTAACAATAGGCATGCCCGAAGACGACTGTGACATTACTCCTGTGATCAGCGAAACGTCGGCCAATTTCATTGAGGGGCTTGTGCATGATGCAAGGCACAAGGGTGCGAGATTGCATCAGGTAAGCTGGATATCCTAATTTTCAATGACGCAATACGAGACTAAAATGAGACTTGTATAACACGGAGGTGCTACAATCAAATTTTTCACAAAATTTGAGGATTTTCAATCGCAAATCTCTGCTGCGTTGTTTGAATATTGAATGCCATTCAGCTTCATCCTTGTACATTTTGGTGCAAGAAAGATCAATCATTACTGTTCGATAGTGTGGTAGAATCGAAACACAATTTATTTGCTGGTGTGTGTACATCATGAGACAATTGTGTATTAGTCTGATTTCATAGTGCTCACTGTCTTCTCAACTTTGGCATGTAGGAATGGAGGAGGGAAGGAAACCTGATTTGGCCTATACTTATTGATCACGTCCGACCTGACATGAGAATAGCTTGGGAGGAGCCCTTTGGGCCGATTCTGCCCGTCATTCGCATCAAAACTGTGGAAGAGGGCATCCATCACTGCAATGCAAACAACTTCGCCCTGCAGGTTAGCATGATTCTGAGAACTCATTTTGCTTTATTTGATAAATAGTTTATTCACATCACGCCTGGGATTGAGCATGATAATTACCTTTTCAAAGCCTGGATTGAGTAATTCTTGTCCATGGTTCTGTTGACAGGGTTGTATTTTCACGAGGAGTTTTGATAAAGCTATCATGATAAGTGATGCTATGGAGTCTGGAACGATCCAAATCAACAGTGCTCCTGGTCGTGGACCCGATCACTTTCCTTTCCAGGTTAAAAATTTTCAGTTTACCATTTTCACTTCTAATAAAGTATCAAAGTCCCTCAGATGAAACTATAGGAACTTCATACGGAGTTGATAAATTTTACATGTTTACAAGTATGCGACTATTGATATGTGCTTGGAAAGATTTACTCACTTCATATGCCACTCACGAATATGCCGTATCTGTGAATAGGGCTTGCGAGATAGCGGTGTTGGCTCTCAGGGCATTACTAACAGCATTAACATGATGTGTAAGATTAAGAGCACAGTTATGAATTTCCCAGCCGCGACTTACACAATGGGTTAGATATTGTGCCCGGCTTGCTGAGAGATGCACACAAGTCACTTCAAAGTAATTGCAGACACAAGAGTGTCTGAATACGTTTTTCTGGTCGTCATGAAGCAGAGAAGTGACGACAGATCGTCGTTGTGGGATGCAAATACAGTTGGTATTGATACTTTGGTGCTCCCCTCACTTTTCCCCCGTGTTATCAGAAACCATATCTCTACAAGAATTTTTCGTGAAGAGATGAAAAATTGTAGGTACACTTGCACTGGGTGGCACAAAGTGCCAGTCTCCCCTCTCCACACACTAGATGCCGACTAAAACATCAAAACACTCAAAAATTTCTCTCACGGTTGGATCTTACCTGTAACCTGCCCACGAGGATCCATTTGAGTTATTCAATATTCTCACTGTTCCTCGTTGGCTGGCAATTATCTCAACACTAACTTCAACAGTTGTGTGAGAATTCGGAAGCATGATATGTAAGTGACAGTGGGTAACGCTCTAACAATGCAGCATCGTAACTATCAGATTTTTCTCAGAAGGAGAACGAGTGATACAGCAGCGTGCTGATCTACGTTCCGCACATGTCGTGCCGTGTTGCGTGATCCGAAAGTTACGAGCGTGCACTGTCGCAGCTATCAACTCCACATCACACGACTCAGGTAGATCATGAGTTTAGCAGCAATTAAGATAATATCTGTTACACCAATTCTTCCGTACAAGGACCAATTACCCTAGAAAAGTTCCTCTCTTCATCTTTTTCAATCCTCCCACCTTTCGATTCTGTTTGTACCCATTTGCTCTATCCCACGATCTCATTTTAGAATGGTAAATTTTCTTCAAGCAACTTCTGAAGTTAAGATGTTTCTTACCTGGTGAAGTCTGGAAGATACTCTGGAAAAGTCTGGGGGTAAAAGTTACACTTGCGACAGAATTTGATTGACACCTGCTGAGCCGAGTGTACTGAGTGTACGTGTGGTTGTTGCAGTACGAAATTTGATACTTGGTTTGTAGGCCCTATTCCACTCGTCACCGTAGAACAGTGTTGATAGCTTAAAGGAGTGATTGTGCACATGAATTGTTCCTTGCCATCGTCTACTGATGTCCAACTGCGTGATCGATTGATTCGGATGCTGCATGAGACTGACACATCTGAATCCACTACGAAATTCTTCTTGAAGGATCAGCTGATTTCAGGACTAAATAGACAAGTCAAAACAGGTTTGTGAGGTATTTCGGATTAAATAATGAAGACAAATTGGAACTCTTTGATACATGTTGGCCCACAGTCTCTACCGCAGAGAAAAATGTCTTCTCTATCCAATCAATAGGAAAGATGAAGGACACGCTCTTCGGGAGGAACTGCTCAATCTACGCTCACCCCAGAAAAGCTACTGATGATAACTTTAACTGCGGCAAGATAAGTAACAGAATTATTATGGATTGTGATCGGCGAGCCTCGAATAATTTTACATTACCGCTGCTAACAGACCAGATGATTCAAGTAAACGAGCAGGTATTCAGCTCTCTTTACAGGGTCACTGAACATTGCACACATTACGGCGCAGTTTTTTACAAACCCACGACCTTCTCTGCCAATCCGGTGAGCCTTGCCCACTTGTCCAACGCCTCTGCTGAGGCGATGAAGGCAGTTCGTGACGAGCTCGAATCGCCCGACTCCACTGATGTGCAGAACAACGTAGTTGAGGGTTAATCGTGGTCACATGTAGAAGTGGAAAAAATCCCCGTATCACACGATACGTCACAAGAAAAGCCCCTGCCACTTAAAACAAAGCGAAGAGATTCACAGTACACACGACGGTGGAGTTGAATTGATTACCTGCAGCTTGTAGAGAAGTCAGAGAAGAGCGGAAGGTATCGGCCACTGCTACCTCATCCGAACTGGAACTCACCTGCGGAAGGCCAGTAGGCACTCAAGATCCGGGTGATTCCCGCAAGGACAAGTAATAGGAAGAAGGAAAGCTTTGCAACAAAGAGATAGCAGAGAAAACGAAATTACCTTTTTCAAAGCTGCTTGGATATCACGGATCCAATCGCTGTTCTGTTGAGCCAAGACTGCCGTTGCCTTACTGAAATCGCCCCCGTCGATAGCCTGCCCAGCTTCACTCAGCTTGTACACGGCAGTCTGTACAAATCCTGATGGATACGAACCCTTGCAGTTAATGTCTCATTCCCGGAGATTGTCACGATTGATACAATCGATCAATATCAACCACATGATCATCGATTACTTACAAACCTTGATACTAATGGTCTGCTGTTAAACACACTTCAGTGCGACCACAAGGACAATCCATTCGATGTTATTCATTCGTACAGTACAGAAATGAAACTGTCGCTACAAGTGATCCATATGTTAAATCTAGTTTCTCACATTCACCACTGGCAGCACATTTCCAACCCACCCGACGAAATTATACTACTAAGGAGTAAGGGAAGTGATGTGGGCTTGCAGGCAGTCAAGTAAATACCACAGGAAAACCATAAGTGGAAACATGAATTCAAGGACGAGTGTTCCGCTCTGTCGCTACTTACTAGGTGGTTTTCACTGAGGCTAAATGCTACACTACCGCGAGGTAGGACCTTTCAAACACACCGTCGCTTCGCTTCACAGTTATCAGTGAGTAGCTGGGAGTAATGTTCCCGGTTTGGTGCATATCATCTAGTTAACCTACGCTGCTTAGCTTCGGTGAAAACAGCGCATAACAGAGTTCTGATTTCGCCCGCTACAGAATGTTCGGCAAATTATGCCAAATGGGTCCTCTCCTGTGACATGATTCAAACAAGAAGTGGGAGTAAGGGGAAGGTCATTACCGCTCTCCTTGACGAAATCGTTGATCGCAGTCGACCGCTTCTGAATACGCTTCCTCTTATCCTCCTTCACTTTCTCAAGCAGAGAATCGTCATCATCAGCCTCAAGCAATGCACGCGCCATGGGAGCGACGGGCAGCACAAGACCACCCGCAACCAGAGCGAACGCAGCCTGCCTTCGGGACACAACCCCAGCCTTCGCGGCCTCACTGCTCCCCTGCCCGCATCGCGCAACGCCGCTGCGGCGGCGCCCGGAGCCTTCGCAAGCTGACCCGTGCACTCGCAGTGCGTCGCCCTCGAGGAACGTAGAGCAGGACGACGCTAGAGTCGCGACGGTCCTCATGGCAAGCAATCTGTTACGACAGTTTCCGAATCCTGTCGTTCACGGCAGGGTATACGGTGCAAATAGAGAGGGGCTCCAAGTCTAACACATCGACGTAACCGTAAAGCTGGTTTAAGCAATTAGAAAGTGTGTGATGAACCAGCCGCGGCGCTACGAGCTCCAAGGATTGATCGCCACCCATTTGGTTGGGAGCCCCGTGGTAGCATTGTGAGCCATTCGCTCTCGATTCTTATCCATACATGGTCGCTGCTGCTGCTGCTGCTGCAACTTCAGTCTATGAGCTCTGGCAGGACTTCGCCTGTCCGCGAAGGCCCCAACGCTTCCTCGCTGCCGAGCCGCTGGGGCAGCCGCTCCGACGGCACCCTGCGGCAGTTTGGTCGGGAAAAGCACTTTGGAAGCGTTCCTTTTTTTACTTTAAAGTTTGGATATGTATTTCGAGGCTTCCATTCTTTCAACGTACTTCACATGTTTCTTGTGTGCTCTATGTTTCCTGGCACTTCACATGTTTCTTTTGAGCATGATAGATATGGGTTTTTAAATTATTGTAAATAAATGTGAGTTTTTATTTAACCCAGTTGATCCAGAATTGTGAATCGAATTGTTCTTGATTTATTGATTCAATACTAGAATAAAAAAGTTATAAATAAAATGGCTTTTTGTGTGTATTTAAAGTTTAAGTTGAATGTGAATCTAGTTGTGAGTAAATGCATCTAATGCAATCAACCACATCTTTAAGTTGAGTACTCAACTTAGAGTTATGTTAGAATTAATTTAACCTTATATTAATCAAAAATCAACATTTGCATGTTTAATATCTCCACCAACTTGAAGAAAGATACTCTTAATACACAAAAGACCCTCTTTATTGGTCGTCACTGCCCCACAATCTATAGAGATGCTTTAATCAATTATCTACAAGTGAACCAAAATGCTAGAAAACAATGACTTCTTTTGTCATCTAAAATTGGTAAATTCTTGGTTGTCATATTTCATGAAGGATTTGAAGGATGTATATAATGATATGTTTGTTTTCTTCTTTAGTGTTGCTATAAATATTTTTTAATTTTTATTCTATTCATCATGACTTTAATAAATATGCATGGATTGTATTAATTATTGTATGCAATGTAGTAGTATTCTTATGTAGTTATTGTCTTGATAACTTGTAGCAAAGTTGCAATGTCTTAATAGTGAATTTTAATAGAATAATGAATGTATATTCAACCTTCCAAACTTTGCTACACCTCTCAGTTTATATTTTTTTGATGTTTTCAAATATATGTTAGAAGTTGATTTCTAAGCCAAAAATATTATAGAGAATGATGGCTGTAAAAGAGTCCAAATTCAAAAGTCGAAAACTTATGGATATCAAGTCATGTGTGCACAAAATATAGCCTAAGGTTAGCAAAGCATCATAAGAGTTTAATATTATAATTATGAAATAATTATAATCAATTGCATTAGGTTCTTTAGAAATTTTTATTAGTTCCTTTAATAAGGTAGAGTTTATTATTAATAAGGTAGGTGTTATTCTTAGAATCATTATATAATCTATTTGCATACTTTCATTTTGGTCCCTTTGTATTCTTTGTATATTTCTAAAAAAAATACAAATTAGTCTACATGAATTTATATTCATTAAACATGGACTTTTTGACAATAAGTATAATTATTGATTTTTTTATAAAATTAAATGCATATTTTATAATATAACAAGCCTTTATTTTTTTGACCAATGATCTTATAAAAAAAACTTCATTGTTAACAAAATAAAAAATAAAAAATATAATATTAAAAATAAAAGTTAACGTACAATGCAGTGCAGTAATATAATCACAACTCTCTCCAATAATGTACATAATTTTTTGGTGATGCCAATTTTTGCTTGTGTTACAATGTAGATATGAAGTAATCTAGGCTATTATAAGGACTATGTAAGATTGTACTTGCATATTCAAATTATGAATGAAGGAGCTTTTTTAGATATTAAGGTGATTAAAGCATGTCAATTCAATTTTTAATTTCCATTATAAGATGTAAAATTTAGTTGTTGTTATTTTACTTTTTAATTAAAAACTTATTATACCAATGTGATAGAATTGCATATAGAATTTGTGCAAGGATGACAACTTATAGGCATGATTTACTTTTTATTTGGATTGTGCCATCTCATAGAATATAATTGCATTACTCAAATGTTGTACCATTCCTATTATCAAATTGTATACTATAGCAAAAGGTACTAAATTTCATGGTTTTTGTTCTAGACCTCTTCTAAAGGGAAAATTTTGAATTTATAATGTACACATCTTATTTGTGATGACTTTGTGTTAACTATCAAGATGCAAAGGAATATACATTCATTGATGATTTTTGTTGGGCCACAAATTTTTTGTGGTTGTAGATGTGTCAAGCTCTCATGATAGGAGCTTATGATAGAAGCTTTTGCAGCCTAGAGACTTCACATGCAACATATATAAGGCTCAATTCTCACAATTGTGAATGCAACTAGAGTTGACAAATTCAATTAATATTGATTTATGTCATTATTGGATTTCCATTATTTAAGTTTTTTTAATTTATATTTTAAAGTTCATTAAATAAATGATTGAGATTTCCTTATGTATAACAAATTTTTGTTGAGCTTATGAAGTTCTTTGCAATGTTGAATTTATACAATCCAATCTACTTAAATTTTTCTACTTCAATATAAAGTTTTGGTAATTAAAAAACACATTTGAATTTTTACCAATATTCTCGAGCAATAAGCTATTATTATTTAGCATTTTTATTTTACAAGTACTATATAATCTTGAGCAACATGGTATTATTGAAACTATGAAAATATTTTTAATTACAACAACAACTTTTATTAAAAAACCTAATTATAAGAAAATTATTCTAAATTTTCATATTAATTTTTTTATATACAACTTGATATGTATAAATATATATATATATATATATATATATTTATATATAAAGTAATAAATAAATTTTAATAAATAAAATAATAAATATTTATTAATTTATTTATTTAATTTGATTTTCAAAATATAATATTTTAAAAAAATTGAATTTTTTATTATAGCTTTCACAATAATCAAAATTAATTGAAGAGTAATTGATCAAGAATATTATAGAGAATATGAAAAAGTACAAAGAAAATCTAAAATAGTTTTTTAATAAAGCACTTAATAATATTGAAGAAATTGAAAAAAGATTCAAAGAGAGGATAAAAACATGGAAATTAGTGAATCAATGGAGCAACTTTCTTATAAATGTCATAGTAAAAGAAAAAAAAATTAGGAAGTTTTTATAATATTGGAGATATGGATGTTCAATGTTTATATTGTTAGGCATTCTATTTAATAGATGAACAAACCATACCATCAACAAAATTAAATCTAGGATTTGGTAAATATTGTCTTTATAGAAAGATTAAACTTTTGCTTCTTGAAAATCTCCCAATACTAATTAGACAACTACTTGATAAAAAAGATGAATAAAACAAGAAGTTTTAAAATACTATTTAACAATATAATAATGTATATGCATTTATATTTTATGATATAAAAGTTGATAATACTATCTTATAAGGATATGGTTTGTATTGCTTGTACATACTTAAAGACACTTGGCATCAAATAAATACTCTTTTACCAAAACAAGATATAGAAATAAGTTATATAAAACTTTATATTTATGATCTTCATATTGCACATGAAGCAATGATCTTGATATGGCATGTAATGCCAATTTGTCAATTCAAATAATATAAGAGCTTCAAGAATATTTGAAAAAATATCATATTTTTTTCCAATTTATTGATAAGCTCATAAAATATTGTCCAAAGCAAGACAAAGAAGAGAGAGCAAGGATGATATATACGTACATCTTTATTTTAATAAAGATGCCAAAACAAGATGTTATAATCTTTCAACTTCTAATGAGGTTGCAATAGTTATGATAGAAAATAAAACAAAGATAGAAGGAATAAAAAAATATAATTATTCAATGGAGATGATGTACATTACATCAAAAATTCATAAAAGACATCATGTATACTTGCCAATTAATCATGTTATTTTTTTTTCTACGTAGATAACTTAGATGGCATGACAAAACAAGACATAGAGATATGAATGTACCAAGGACATGAACTAAATAAAGATGCATAAACTTGAAAAATCTATGTCAAAAGAAAAGTGAAAAAATAGAAATAAAGTAGTACCTATATTAAATGGAAACTAGAATAGCTATTGCTAAATGACAAGGAAACTAAAGACTCTTAAATCTAGACTAAAAGCAAGAAAGGAGTTGACGAGAGTGAAGATGGCTTCACTCTTGCTTTTATATATACTATCTAACTAGGAGCTACGTAGCAATGTTCTATAGGACCTCTAATATATGTTCACTTTGCAAGACACATGCCTTAACTTATAAGGCAAGTTTTCTATGTGTAGACCACATAATTAGCTTGTTCTTCAAGCTACCAGAATATGTAGTACATGGCCAACTTGTTGACTACATTTTTAATCTAAAAAGTCAATTAAAGACACCTATAAAGTCAAAGCAATATCTATGAAGCTTCTGGAAAGCTTTTGTAGAAGATATTTTGAAATTGATCTACTTTTACCTATTATTATATAAATCATATAAGTAATTATTGATTTATATGAGTATGTCCATGACATTATCCTTTCTTCTAGGGACGAGTTCCACGAAAAGTGGTCTTCATTTATTGAGAAAATACAAGATGTGGCAAATTGTATTTGCTACATACTTCAAACTTTGTTCTCTTCGAAGATAGTTGATAGGCCCTCTCAGCCTTCGATAGTGTCCCATACCTTAGTAGAAAGACCACCGTGTTGTTTGGTCATTGTTGAGGCCTCCGTAACTTCCTTCAAATAAAACATTTGGAATATCCTCAAGAGTTGTTCTCACTTCTAATAAAATCAGCAAACATCAGGAGTCTCTTCCAAGGTTGTGATATCAAACATATTATATCTTGTCGTCTATTTGAAGAAGGACATGTTGTTCTTGAAGAACTTAATTTCAATTTTGTCATCTTGAAGGTAACAACAATCACAATGTCTCATCTGATAAGTCCACAAATGAAAGTTCTTGAGTTGAATCTGCTGGTTGTTGATTCTCCATCTCCTCAACTTCATAAATATATAAAAGCTACAAAAAAAAATAGAAAGTAGAGTGCAATCTTTCTTGGACCTTGTTTC